TAGCTCTTCACTTGTAGATTCTAAGTACACAATCGGAGTCCTGTTTATACCCTTTTGGTCACATTACTAGTAATATATTATTATTTATAAACTGAAATAATATAATTTAAAAAGAAAAAGATAATTGAAATAATATAATATATTTATTGAGATTTAACTAAAACATTCATATACTATTTCAAGTATCAAAGTTCAAAATGAAGTTATTTGAGATATTTATCGTTATACTCGTATATATGGTATAGTATAGTCAAGCTTTTGTATACACAGCATTATTTCATAGCTGGTGCCAAAGCATCGTTACCTCCTAGCATTAGTTCAGATGTAAGTAGCCCTCTCCTTACAACCGCAACCTCGTCGTCCTTGACAAACAGGACATCTCCTTTCTTGGTCACCTTCATACTAAGAGCAGAGTCCTTTGATGTATCGAGCCAATCGGCTGGAAAGAAGAAATGGCGTGCGAAACGATTCGTTCGGGCAGAACTCGTGTCGGTAGCACATACCCACTGACTGCCATGCAAGAAAACTAGACGCTCTGATGATTCAGCACCCATGCAAGTAGTACCGATCAGAACCTCAACATTCTCGGATAATGCACAATATGAAGGGGTTGGAATTGAGAGACTGTGGTATTTCTAGGTCGACTGCGAAGCTTGCATTCTCTTTCTGTGATGCTTGATTCTCCGTCACTAGATCACTCAGATCCCAAGCTCGACATCGCTATCCTCGGGTGTCGAGTAATCGTAAGCTATCTGCTAAAAGCAAGGCTTTAAATTCCAGGTTCAACCGAATTGACACGATAGATCAATTGTAAGGTCTCTAGATTAAAAAGCTGGATTGTTCCGGCTGGATCAGCTGTAGCTAGCATATAGCCATCAGCTGAACAGGCAAGAATATATGCGAATGTCACAATTCGTTGTTTTTTATCCCGCTAACAGAGGTATCAAACAATACTAGCTCACCATCTGTGTATGCGCATGCAAGTAAATGTGCATTAAACGCATTGCCGAACACTAGACATCGCACGCCAGAAGAGCCGTAAGGTCTTCCTAGGCTCGCAGCACTTATGCTAGCTTCCCTGCTATATAGAGCTACAAGTTCGTCATTGGTAAGACTCCATAACAAGATGTCCTGGCCCTTGTATATAACTGCTAGAAGATTTGATCCGATGCCAAAAGCAGCAGTAGTTGGACGTCTGTGCAGTCGAATTGTCATGGCTTCTAAGCCCTGTGTCCAATCAATAGCTTCTGGTGAATCCTCGCTTTCAAGATCCCAGATGAGCAAGCGGTGATTCTTGAGCGCGGCCAAGAGATAACGACCTTCGTTATCTAGAGATATTGCCATACATTGTTGAGGCGTCTGCCAGACATATAGTTGTACTTTAGTTTTGAGATCCCAAACGCAGATACGGTTCGAGCCTGCTGAAGCAAGTATATTTTTGACCTCACCAAATATTAAGAGCCTTACAGGCTCGTCATGTTGCAGCTTGGTGATTCTTTGACAGGTCATTTGCTGGAAGAGGGTATCGTCCCGCCAAAACATCCAACCGCAAATTGCGTCTTCGTACATGCCAGACTTGAGTATTGCTCAGGGGCATCGAGTACGGTAGCCAAGCAATCATCCCATGTTTCAGCTCGTAATCCTCGGTCATTAATGTTGCGAATTGAAGATCCAAACTGCTTTCTTATAGCAGTTTCAGATGGGCAGAATGGTGGGATAAGATTGAAGATAGAGTTGGATATGCTTCAAGGGACTTTCCAAGCTGCATCACAAGCCGAACCAGATCAGTTGCCCAACAAGTTAGCAACTCTATATCATCGGACTTTATCGACGTCCGATCTGTACTATCTTGCAGGAAGGCACCAAGAGCCTTGCCTGTTTCTACCAATCGTTGTTGATTGGAATGCTTTGTAATGTGTTCGATCCAGTGAAGAACGTTGGGTGATTTGAAGAATTTTGCTAAGCCGAGTAAAACATCTCGATCCATTGAAGGAACATGTGATATATGTTCGGACAAATAATTAGATGCATAACCCATGAGAGCGGAGCCTTCTTTATATGTGTTGTTGCCGCTGGATCTGCGACGTCTTGGGCTTTCTACCATGTCGTTGAAAAAGCGTAAGATAGCCAACAATAACCGGAGATGGCCTTCTTTCTCGTTGACCGCGAACTCCGAATTTGTGTTGACATCGAGAAGAAATTGTCGTGCTGTAAGATGAGTCGTTTGTACTTGGTCATTTGTGTCTATGTCAATGAGTTGTCCACAATATGATCGTATGGACTTTTCGAGACCATCTGTTGATGTTTTAAGGTCTAGCTGGAGGAATTCGTGAAGCTAGGGAATCCTTAGTGGACGTATAGAGCACACTGTCCATATTATAATGGCTTTTGCAAGCTCTTTCCCGTACGGGGATTTTAACATGGTTTCCAATATACGGGCATACAATTCATTCATGTCCGTTGGGATCTCGTCCAGAATCCTTTGCTGATCTGTGGATGTATATACGTTCCTGAGCTCCTGAAAAACTATACTCACCTATAGGAAACAGCCCTTTGACTTCTCGACTAGCTGACGGACAATAGACTGTTCACCATCCTCATCGAGCGTAGGGAGATCATCCATGTTTGCCTCAATATACATCGTTATATCGGACTTACTATCCTCCTGGAGAATTCCTTCGGAGAGCACCCGGACTTTGGACTTTCCTAGCTTTTGACGAGACTCAAATCGATTCCGTGAAGTTATCAAGATGTGTACTGAAGAGATCTCAGCCGTTCTGATAAGCAACGCGATCATATCTGCCTCATTTTGGCATTCGTCTAAGGCATCAATGACCCAATAGTGAATTTGTTCACACTGAACCTTGAAAATCCCATCCAAAAATAGTTTTCGCCATAGAGTACGATAATCAGCCTTCAGATGATCATCTTTTCCGAGAGTTTTGAGGAAGTTGTTCATGATTCCTTCGTCAGAATATGCCATCTGCGATGCCATTGATAGGAGAAAGGAGACGATATTCGATTTCTCTTTCGTATCGTGTCGTGTCCGTGTCGGAAGAAGTAGGGCATTTCTCACTGCCAGATAGTTAGGATCGTTTCAATTATCGTACTTGCAGACATTGCGATGGTCAGCATATATCCCATTGTTGCCAGGTCTCTTTCAACGATAAGACTCTTCTTGATTGCAAAACTGGTGGGAACTGTTTCATAGAATGAATAGAGCAGGATATCCTGGCACAGGTCTGGAAATTCATCATTTATTAATCGCAGAGCTAAAGAATCTCGAGTTACATCCGTCACAAACGGTCTATTTCCATCTGTCAGGTGGAGAAGCTTCGAGAGTACCTGGGCTAGGTCCGAACCTCGATGAGACGTAGCTAGGAAGAGTGCACCTTGTATGCGTGTTGCTAGAGCTGCATACTCTTTATTTCTCTTCGCGGAGATATATGCTCGCTTTATCACGAGACTACCCATACTATGACCGACTAACACAATAGGTGCCGAAATCAAACTAAGTAAACAAGATCTGAGGTGGAACATTCACAATACAAAGCGGAAAGTTCTTTGGCTCGAAAAGTATCATTCAAACTTGAAAACAATCAAGTCGCGAGTTCGAAAAACAAAAGAGCTTGGGGTAAGATTGCTTCTATAAAAAGAGAAGGACGTACCTTTGTATTTTGAGGGATCGTGGGACAATCGAGTATACATGTGAGCAGGGCGTTCGCGAAATCGCAGATACCAAGAATACTTTTCTTGCCCCAATTTGAATCGTATCCAAAGCTATGGACCCTAACATCCTTCAAAGCTTCCTCGCCTGGTAGCCACTCTTTCGGCCAATACAGTGATTAATCATCCGAATTCATTCATGTTTTTCATGAGCCTCCCCCAAGAGCATGTACGAAAATCAGATCAGCATTAGCGAAACCGGATGATAGGACAGATAAAGCATTTAATCCTAAGGGCCCGATCTTATCTTCATTTGTGTCGGATTCACTTCCTCCCGAGAGCCAGTTGCGGGTTGACAATAAAGAACTACCGGTACTAGAATTTGAGGTTGAGGTTGAGTTTGTGAGGCGTAGCTTGAGATTCATTTTCTTTAGGGCTTGTGCACGGATCCTAGGATCAGGTAACCTAATAGATACTAGTAGGTAGCCTTACTAGTAGGTACTTTAAGTTGTGGGGTAAGGGGTTAACCGTAAAGCTAGTCTTTATATATTAAGAAGAGAGGTGCTAGATGTCCACAAGTATATAAGAACCTCGAAATCATAAAGATTAACTTTTATTCCGGTCTATAGGGAGGTATGGGCATTTCAAATAATCCAAAAATTAGTTGGAGCATAATCATCTAAAAGCCGCACAAATCCTGCAAGGTAAAAACGGTCAACTAGGTATTTCCAATCCTTGTTATTAAACTAATGTATATATCTGTAAAAAGAAGTGTCACGCAAAATATAATTAACACATCGCATACGAAAGTCATATGTAATGTAGATTCCCGTGGCTTGTTGTGGTGGGAAAATCCTATTTTTGACCTATCAAAAGGTAAGGAAGGCGCTCACTGACTTACATTTGTTTATCTCTTCCAATCACAACCCTCGACGAAGGGAAAATGAATGTTAGGTTGTACTGTACCCCACTAGAGTATACGCGAGCAGCCTTGTGTGAGGTGCCTGTAGGGATCAGTCATTATTCCATCCCTAGATGTAGCTTTCATCTTGACAACCCTATGCATCCTGCCTTTCACCATTTTATCACATTAAATTATTGATCACTACGCTTAGTAGTCCCTCCTTTATAGATGTGGCTACCCCTATGGAAGCTTTACATGTTATGACTCCAGCAGAATGGGGTAAGCCTATCGACGTCGATAAGAAATGGATCGGTTTCGTGGACGAAAATGTCAAGGCCCTCTGCTCCAGACATCCACTTCTTCTGCTGTGAGCTCATAAATATGACCGATGAGATTCCTGAAATGCAAGCTTTCACCTCAGCACTTGCAGAATTACACCTGAAAGGCATTTCCCCAAATGGCAAATACGGATTTTCTGTGCCTACTTACAAAGGCACGATACCACAATACACGGACTGGCACGAAACTTGGGAAGAATCCTATTATCATTCCATGAAGTGGTTCATGTACGCTGAGGAAAAGTCCCAAGGCGTCGATAAGGAAATGCAAGAACTTTGCCAGGGAATTCTTGACAAAGTCATTCCACGTCTGTTACGACCACTCGAGACTGAGGGTCGCCAGATACAGCCTCGTCTTATTCACGGTGATCTCTGGGCTGGGAATACGTCCTGGAATATTGATACCAACACGCCGATCATTTACGATTCAGCTGCTCTGTATGCCCACAACGAACGTAAGGCTAATATCTTCCAATTCCATCGATGGAGCATCTCATTCAAGACATAGTTATGGAACAGATGATACTAATTATAGATAGTAGAAATGGTGGCTTGGAGACCGATACGACACTTGACTGGAAAACAGTACATAAAGGCGTATTTCCATTATTTCCCAGTATCTGCCCCAGAGGAAGACCAAGATGACCGCAATATGCTTTACTATCTGTAAGATATTTGTTCGGGTTGAACTCTCATCAACTGAGCTTGAAGCAGTCGATGGGACCTCAAAAGCTCTGCCCTATTTTCTGGCAATTTGAGGTACCGAAATATGTGAGTTTGGACTATACTTGCTCTGTTACTCAATATATCGACAATGACAAATTAGGGCCAAGGAAACGATGAAGACTCTGATTGCGAAGTTCCCCGGCGGCTACGAAGGTATACTGATCCCTTTTCTCACATTACACTCCTATATGTCCTCTCACTTGCCTAGCCAAGTCACTTTTCCTCCCATACCTCTCAATTATCCCCATTATAGGCAATTATTGACTCGCGCATCATGATAGTATGGGCCAGAGAGAGAGAGGAGAAGAGCCTGTGCATAGAAATATGACCCCCACGGTTATAGGGCTGGGTTGGAGAGAGAGCAGATCATAGAATATACGGAGAGATATAACAGCACAAAGTGAATGTAAAAAGCAATCAAACCTTGTCGTAGCCTTATGCCGGCAAAGACAAGGAAAAATCAAGGAATATGGCACCCCATTGGGATTATTGGATTACTCCGCATCAGCGAATTATAGAGCGATAATTAATGCAGGCAGCCTCATTTTGATTCAGTTGCCGCCGCGTGAATACATTAAGCCGCATCTCCCCGAGAGCCTTTTGCTTCCCAATTGCCTTCGCTATACGATCACCAAAGTCTACTCAACAATAATGTCAGACGCAAACGCAACCACACCACGAGTCTTCATCGCTCGACATGGTAAGTTGCCAGTACCACTTTCTGTGGGAAACCATATAACCAATCTCTACTAATCTTGTTACATATAAAAGGCGAAACAGAATGGACCATCAACGGCCGATCTACCGGCAAGGCTGAAATACCTCCCACCGCAAACGGCATTGCTCAAGTTCAAGGCACAGGTGAAGTCCTTGTAGGGGCTGGCAAACTCATTGACCCTTCCAAACTAACACACGTCTTTACTTCACCTCGCAAACGTGCTGTTGATACGTTATCGATGCTACTCGGACCTTCGCATAAAGAACGGCTGGAACAGGAGAAGAAGATCACTACCACAGAGGACATCGCAGAGTGGGATTATGGAAATTATGAGGGTTTGAAACCAAATGAGATTAGAGATAGCAGAGCTGAGAAAGGTTTACCAAAATGAGATATTTGGACTCAAGGCTGTGAGGGCGGAGAGTGAGTAAAATCCATGATGCGCATGTGAATCGTACAATTGTCTCCTGTACTCGAGTATAAAGACTAACATTTGGTGCTCCACCCAGATCGGCAGAAGAAGTGCAAACGCGTCTGGATGGACTCATTGAGCAGATCTACAAGCTGCAGAGCCCTCACATGGATGGCAAAAGTGGCGAGCCTGCTGATATTTTGATAGTAAGATTTGACATCTCATTGAACCTTCTCTTTTGACGTTGCTGATGTTGAAATTGCATAGGTCGCCCATGGTCACATCTTGCGCGCGTTTACGAAAAGATGGCTTCGCTATGCTATGGACTTTCCGTTCCTGATGATGATGGAGCCGGGTGCTGTTGGTATCATGAGATGCACACCACAATATCAGGGAGCCTGCTATTTTGGTTGGTATGGGATTTCCTCTGTCAAAATAGTCTGGTTTGATGAAATTACTTTGTGGGACAGGACTCTGAGACTGGTGAAGAGGCTAATACAATTGTTTATGCTGTTGCTTCCCATGAGATTCTGTGATTGTGTATTGTCAGTCGGTGAAAGATGGAGTGGTGTGATGGTATGATGTATCATGTTCTTAGATACACTGCACAAATATCTCGGTTGCAGTCTGTTTGCGTGCCGTCAAACTGACGTTGTGGCCGTGAAGATAAGTTTCGCAAATAGATGTTGATATCAGTGAAAATTGAATTTTTCGGAATATCGTATCTTAAGTGAGACTGAGGATATACAGGTATGTATAATGGTTGGTTCAAGGACAAATGTCACTTGACCTTGCCATATTCAGGTCAGCCAACAATGTCTCAGTCAGTCACCCCAATCCGCATTCTTGGAGAACAGTAATGATGTGAATAGACAATCTTTTGCATCGTATATACGAGCCAACAAACCATTGAGTTAGTTATTCAATACCTCTGTAAGTCTGTGAGATATCGCTGACTGAAACTCTGACCAAGAAGTGTTGTGTATCGCTCGCTGGCATTCAGTCAGATTGTCAGCCCCAAGGCTGGGGTCTCACCCCCACTCTCACATCTATCCCAACAAGGGATCCAAAAAGCGCGCGCATGAGCATGGCCACAATAACAATGGTGGCGTTTCATGAATAACCTTATTGTTGTCTTTGGCATTGCTATCGTTTTGGCCTTCGAGCAGTATACCTTAATACCGGCACTGGCAGCCTTTTTCTATAAATGAAACCAACATCATTCATTCATATGTTTACCGAAGATTCCGAATGGTAAAGTTGGGGGACAAGATACGAGATATGTACCTAGGTAACCCAATTAGTCTGCCCCACTTCACTGCAAACAGCTGTTCACAACAGCGCTTCCTTCTGTTCCCCCTTTTGTCATCAACAAAGCACTACTGTACTACACAAAACATACCCAATTCATATAACCATCTTATCTTCGCGTTATACATTATACATATACGACAAATACGAGTAGTATGGCCAAGGTACAGCAGTATATCCCAGGAAACTTTAAACTGGAGAATCATTAAAGGATTTTCGTCAAGGGTTTTGTCATCTCTTCTCAAACATCCTCAAGCCGCCTCCAAAAAGAACAGTGCAAAGCGACCCATTTGATATTAACGTGTTTGGAACGACTGACTGCGCATTGCAAAGGATTCCATACCTCATCCCTCGGATCCTTTTATAAGACAACTGTTGTACTGAATACCTAGTCTCGAAGTATCTCTGCCAAGTTGCCAGCTCAAGCGCCGAGATTTATAGTGAAGACATCCAAGACTATTAAAGTGGAGTAACGACATTTAACGGGGAAGCCGTCTATCCGCACATTGCCGCACATTGCTCCTCTGCTATAGTACACTATAACGCTTATATTACTTTTTATAGCTCGAATTCAGTTCGTAGTTTGTATTCCATACAACAATACGACATCTGTTTTGCCCCTGCATAATCAGCGATAACCGAAAAATTCCCGGTGTATTCTGTACTCTTGAACACCAATTGTCCATCTCCTTACATTGAGACTTATTCACCGGAGCCGAGCACAGTTCTTATATACAGTACAGTACAAGGCTGTGTAGTATAATCAACAACAACGAGGGCTTGGTTTCATCGTCTCGCCTCGCCTCGCAAGGCCATACACAAGGATTATATGCAAGCATCTCTCTTCGTTTGTAGATAACTCCATTCCCTTTACTCTTTACTCCATTATTTACTGGACTAATCAAAGCGGAACTTATTAGCAATTAGTCGGAAACTTGCATACAGTGATCGTTCCTGACTCTCTGCCGATCTCCTGTACCGATTTATTAAGGACATATTAAGGTTAAGGCGAAACAAAAAGCGTAGACCTGCGTCATATAGACATATAAACTGACCAAGCCTCTATTTGGTTTTGACTTGGACTTCGCCTTTTGGCTTTGACTTCGGCATTTGGATATAAAACATCATTTTCCGACAAGAACGAAGAAAGAAGACAGAAGAAAGATTTAACACAATTTTAATTTTCTAATATATATTTCAGAGATTTCCTTCTCATTTCCGCTTTCTCTTTCTTTTTTTCTTTCTTTCTTCCTTTGTTTTGCTTTCGAGATAATATCTTTTGATTCTCATTGCTTTTGAACATCCCACCTGCCTACTTCAGGTAACAAGACAACATGAAAGGCTTCGGAGCTATCGTTGTCTCTGTTGCATTGACTTCAATTTGTGATGGTACGTATCTCTTTGAAAACTTTCTAGCCTCAGTTTTTGCTAACTCCGTTATAGCTCGTCGATTAGTCGTACCTCGAGATGCATCACCCAAAATAATCGCTGCTGAAGTATTGGCTGCACCTATGATAGCTGTAAAGCGTGCATTACCAGATTCACCAACAGGAAGTTATACACCCGGAGCAGTAGACTGTCCCGATACGAGACCAACAATTAGAGAAGCCAGTGGATTATCTGCCAATGAAACATCATGGCTTGAACTACGAAGAAATAATACCATTCAACCCATGATAAGTTTCCTCGAGAGGATGAACATTTCTGGATTCGATGCGACTTCATATATCAACAAAGTTTCAGGTAATGCATCCACTTTACCAAATATCGGTATAGCAGTTTCTGGAGGAGGTTATCGTGCATTGATGAATGGTGCTGGGTTTGTCGCTGCTGCCGACGATCGAACATCGAATTCTACAAACTCGGGCCAAATCGGAGGTCTTCTACAAGCTACAACATACCTTGCAGGTCTTTCTGGTGGTGGATGGCTGGTGGGCTCAATTTATACCAATAACTTTAGCACTGTCGAAAATTTGCGAGATGGAAGCAAGGGCTCTGATGTGTGGAACTTTGAGAATTCTATATTTGAAGGACCCAATGATGATGGCATTCAAATTCTAAGTACCGCCGATTACTATAAAACCATCGAATCGCAGGTCAGTGGTAAAGCCAATGCCGGGCTCAATCTCAACACTTCGATCACCGACTATTGGGGACGTGCATTATCATTCCAACTCGTTAATGCTACGGATGGTGGACCGGCGTATACCTTCTCGTCAATCGCACTACAGGAAAACTTCGCAAGTGGTGGTATTCCTATGCCCTTCCTCGTTGCTGACGGCCGTTCGCCATACACCGAGATTGTGTCGCTCAATTCTACTGTATACGAATTTAATCCCTTCGAGCTCGGTTCTTGGGATCCTACAACATATGCATTTGCACCCCTTCGCTACATTGGTTCGAATTTCACCGCGGGTGCCATTCCTAATGGTCAACAATGCGTTCGTGGTTTTGATCAGGTTGGCTACGTGATGGGTACTTCATCCACGCTGTTCAACCAATTCTTGATTCAAGCCAACGCCAGTGGACTCCCAACCATTATCACCAATGCTTTTACCAACATTCTCGATAAAGTAGGATTCACCAACAACGATATTGCGCAATATCAACCCAACCCCTTTTATGAATTTAACAATGATACCAACCGTATTGCCCAAGCCGCACAGCTGGATTTGGTCGACGGTGGTGAAGATGGTCAGAACATCCCTCTTTACCCTCTCATCCAGCCTATTCGTGGAGTGGACGTCATCTTCGCCGTGGATTCTTCCGCAGACACCACCTATGGTTGGCCCAATGGGACTGCTCTCATCGCAACGTACCAACGTTCCCTCAATGCCACTATTGGGAACGGAACGGATTTCCCCGCAGTCCCTGGCCAAAACACATTCGTTAACCTTGGCCTCAATAAACGTCCCACTTTCTTCGGCTGTGACGCCTCAAACACCACTGGAGTGACACCTTTAGTCGTCTACATTCCCAACGCCCCTTATATCACCCAATCTAACGTATCGACCTTTGACCCATCATACAACAATACTCAACGCAATCTTATCATTGAAAACGGCTACGATGTCGCTACCATGGGTAATGCCACCATTGACCCAGACTGGCCAACATGTGTCGGCTGCGCAATTATCTCTCGTTCACTCACAAAGACAAACACCGCCGTACCAGATGCGTGCACCACCTGTTTTAATAGGTACTGCTGGAATGGCACATTGGATACCAGTGATGTTGTCTACGAGCCCGACTATATCATTGGAGAGATTTCTGCCGGCGTCGCTTTGGATGGAAGCAAATTCATGAGCATTATCGTAGCAGTAACTGCTGCTGCATTGGTTGTATTTGCATAATGGAAAGATAATACGATTTGGGATTATCATAGAGATGGAGAAAATAGATAGCATCGAGAGTTTTGTATGTATAACGACATTCTAATGAGGGATGACGGGGGGGTATGTATGGTAGATAACAACATATAACGTCATATTGAAGGTGAGTTATCTGAAAGATGGATTAGTGTACTAGTATTACTCTTTAGAGAATGCTTGAAATATATTAGGTTAGTTTAGGTGTGAATAAAACGAATAACAGATTTATATTAGATTACGAGTTGACTGCTTTCAATTGGTGTCCTATGTGATGATTTTGAGTCGTCTAATTTGATGTTGAATACCCCGGCCCCAGTATTTGGGTATTTGGTCCCAGATGCTTATATTTGGCTACAGTTATAATTATTTGCTCGAATTCAGACGACATACTTTTATATAGTTCTCAAATGTAATTGGGTTGTTGGACATCCTTATTATAGTCAATAATATTAGTCTTCAATGTTATTTCGACGACAGCTTGTTTGCAACCCAGTGATAATATGACGTGTTACGACAAGATCATGTGAGGGCAGAATTTGGCGTTGATCTGGCAACCTTAGGCGGTGAAAATATTGTTTATCAATATTTATCCTTGCATTAGCGTGCGTGAAAGTTGTACCTTTCTTACTGAAATCAACAATAACTTTACCAAATCATTTCACGAATAACATTCATATATCACGTCAAATGTAATTCTATCACTATTGAACACGAAAATTTATTAACATTGGACAAACCAAACAACTTACAACCATGGATCAATCACCACCGAAACGTATTACACGTGCAAAGTCAACAAAGGATGCTGTAGTTAAAACTACGAGAATCGCACCTGCCGCATCGAAGACAACCAAAGTTACCCGCGGTACAACAAGTACGAAGAGAAAGACCAGAGCAGATGATGATGAGGAGGAACAAAACGAAGGGTTAGCAGAGGAGACCAAGCCAGAGCTCAAAACTACTCGCGGACGACCGAGGAAAATCAACACACAAGTGGAAACGGCCGAGGTAGAGGAAACCATGGTCCCAGCAAAAGCAACTCGAGGTAGACCAAAGAAAACTGCGATTGAAACACCAGCCCTTCCACCCGCCAGATCTTTGAAAGGACGAGCGAAGAAGGATGAGGCCGAGCCTCAGGCGGAACCAAAACTAACCGTGGTTGAGGAACCTATGAAGAAGATAAGCCGTACGCGCGATCCTTCTGCCACAGTTTCACGTGCAATGGGACCAAAGAAGAGGGTCAAGTTTGAGGAATCTGATAAGGAGAATATTATACCACCTACCCGAGCAAAGCCCAAGGCTGCAGAATCAGCCACGGGACTACGAGCGAAACCGGTTCGAAAGCATACATTATCTGCAACAGCGTCGACACGTGCGACTCGTGCTAGAGCCAAGCCTGGTCAAGACGAGAAGGTAGAGAAACCATTGCCATTGAGTCCGAAGAAAGCGACACAAGTTAATGCGAAAAAGGGTCAATCGTCTGAAGATAAATTATCAACAGTGAAAACTCCAATGAAATCGTTGATGAAAAGTCCTGTTAAGCCGCCTGGAAGTATCTTTGATACTGCGAAAAAGATAGATTTCTCGACATCCCTTGCAGCACAAAATCCTGCTGAAGGCATCAAACTGGATTTTCATGCATCGAATATGATGAGTCCAGCTCGTCGACCCCCACAAACCGCAGAGAAGAAATTGGACATTGCTACGTCTTTTGCTGATAAGCCTTCAATGGAACCTACCCAGATTTTCAATGCGTCAATAATGACAAGTCCTGCTCGACGTCCACAAACCGCCGAGAAAAAGTTGGAAATCGCTACTGCTTTTGCTGATAAGCCTTCAATGGAACCTACCCAGATTTTCAATACGTCAATAATGACAAGCCCTGCTCGACGCCCTCCACAATCTTCGCCTTTTAAAGAGACATTAAAGTCATCTGCACAAAGATTTGAGTTTGGACACAGCATGCTATCGCCTTTCAAGCCCAACTTATTTGCACCGGAACCTTCAACGACCGCATCTCCTTTCAAATCTTCTCTTCTTAAATCACCAGCTCGCAGACCTCAATCACCCACCAAAGTCAACGAAGCTGGATCACCAACGAGAACCACTCACGCCACTTCGATATTCGATGCGACTCCAAAAGTCAGCACTTTTAAGATTTCAAGATTTGAAACCCCGAGAACTCTCATGAAGAGTGCAATACGTCCTGGTCCAATGTTTCCCCCAATTCCCTCAAGCACTGTGAAGGACAATGTTTTAAATGGCAGTCCAATATCGAAGGAAGCAAGATCTTTACCAACTCCCGTCCTAGAGTTTTCTGGTCGACTTTCATCGATTTTGCCGCGTTCTGCTGATTCGGCCTTTCCGCCAGCTATCGGAGTTTCCCCTCCCATCGATGAGCCTGTAGAATCTATCGTCGATAATATCCAAGAACAATCCGACGACTCAATTGCCATTGAGAACACAGATCATATGGTCGATACTATTGAAGTTCAGAGTACCACACCACCATGCTCACCCCCTAGAAATAGTTCTGGTGGTTTTTTCGAACTCCGCGAAGAGATAAATTCAACGGATGACAACTTAGAGTCAGAAGATGAGCTTGCTTCTGTAGCTGAAGAATACTCGCCAACCCCACTTACCAATTTTCAGATCTCTACCAATGATTTCGCCTCTACTTCAGCGACACCCGCCAAATTTGCCTACATCAACAGGACTCCTCAGACAGCAGCGACTCAAGCATCTGTTCGACCCTTACGCAGATTAAACCAGGAGAAGATTGGTTTCACTCCTTTGGCAAAGCAACTAAGCGACTGGATGGCCTCGAGTACTGAGCAGTCCGGCGGAAGCGATGATGAAAACGATGAGCTTGTCTCACCTACGCAGAAATCAGTGGAGAAAGAAGCAGACGCTAATATGGGTACTGTTGCAGCTTCCTTGGCCGTCGAATCTCCAGCCAAGAGTAGTTACTTTGAGGATGAGATGAAAATCCGAGAAGAGCTCAATGTGGCAGAAAATGAATCTACTTCTCTCGATGAGGTTGAGGCGGAGATCAGTGAACCAGAGTTTGAAGATATCGAATTCCTTGAGGAAGATCTCGACCTTGCAGAAGAAGCAGATGAGCTATCGATGTTGGACCCTGAAGCTTTCGAAGAAGGGAACGAAGAAGAAATTGAAGAAAACGAAGAAAGAATTGAAGAGAATGAAGAGGAAAATGAAGAGAGCAATGAAGAAATTGAAACGAACGAAGAAGGAATTGAAGAGAACGATGAAGTAGAAGGAGAAGACGAAGAAGATGAAATCACTATCATGGGTGTTTTTGAAGAGTCTGTGCTTGCGCCTGAGCCAGAACCTAGCCCCTCAGAGGCCAGCCAGGAATATGGGGACGAGAATGATGTGCCAATAGACCCCGCACTTTTGACCCCTGCACCTCAGCCATCAACTGCGCCAGTCTTCACGACCCCTAAACGTGTTTTGTCCGAGAGAACATTTCATACAGTCGCCAAGGTGCCGCTCAAGGGTGCTCATGAAACTCCCATGCGATCAACTCCAGCGAAGAGAAGCGCGAGTAGTTCAAAGCTTCCCGGTGCACGCCCAACTAGCTCATTATCTCGCAGCAATACTGTGATTTCATACTCACCATCCAAGAGCACACCAAAATCTCAACAAAAGCAGAAATCCACCGAGGTAGTCGTCAGTCAAGGCTTTGCTACTCCTACTAAATCAGAGACTTTTATGTGGTCCACAGTCGCGACACCAGCTCGTACACCCCGTCCAGATCTCAACACGGCACTTTTGAAGGGAGCTGTAGTCTTTGTCGATGTGCATACCACAGAAGGTGCTGATGCTAGTGGCTTGTTCACAGAGTTGCTTACACAGATGGGTGCGAAATGTGTTAAGAGTTGGTCCTGGAATCCAAATAGTGATGATGGAAGCAAAATTGGAATTACCCATATTGTTTTCAAAGATGGCGGAATGAGAACACTCGAAAAATCTAAGCAAACTGGAGGTGTGGTTTCTTGTGTCGGTGTTGGATGGGTTTTAGAGTGAGTTTTAAAAGACACATTCCGTCCTTATTTTGGAACGTTTCGCTAATAAAGCCAATAGTTGTGAACGCGAAAACCAATGGCTTGATGAAGCCTCTTATGCCGTTGACACAACCATGGTACCTCGAGGAGGTGCTCGTCGTCGCAAGAGTATGGAACCCCGTGCACTTGCTAACCTCAACGGTACCCTTGTTCCATCAACCGTTCCTGCAAAATCTGCATCTCCAACTTTGACTTACCCTGATACAACACCACGTACACTCAAATCTAAGAGAAGGGAATCGTTTCAATGGCAGAGATCTCCAATTTCGAATGAAGAGGCTGATGAAGATGAACTGGGTGATGATGATTGGATGTTAAGTCCTGTTCCTGCTACACCTGCTCCGGAAACTATCAGTGCATATGCGGAAGAGGGTTTATGGGGTGCAGAGACTCCTGGAGCTCAAACACCTTATTTCTTCAAGAAGGACAAGTTGGTACAAATGACGGCTCCGGGAGGGAATAAAAAATTTGTGAACTTTGAAGAAGGCGAGAGTAGTGGAAGTGGAACTTCAGGTGATGGAATGGATTTCTTGAAAAAGGAAAGAAATCAGAGTGTTATGATGAGGTTGATGGCTGCCAGGAGAAAGAGTTTACAATGGGCCCCGAAGGTGGGAAGTCCACTCGCTAGGAGATTTGATGGAGGTTTGTGATTCGGCATTGAACGATTTATGATTGTAGGAGTTTGGCTTGGGAACTACACATCTTTTGATTTTGCGGGGGTTGCTTTGGATTGCACTGGGATAATGATATGCTTTTTCCTAGCCAATGTCACATTGACTGTTGGCTTGTTCTTTGTACTTTTCTTATGTCAATTGGCCCAATCGAACGTCTAGTCTATTGTTGATTCTAGTTCAAATGATGGAATGGGATGGTGTTGTTCATTGAGGGACTAGCGGATGGTTGGCAGGAGATGCAGTGGCTAAATTGTATGGTACAAATGATCGATGGTGAATTCTAGCAATACAAAAGTTGATTTTCTGTATATATTCGAGTACGAGTATATTTAGGTTGACTGAAAAGTTTGTACTGAGTATGAATGTGCCGATATTATAAACATTGGCGGTAGTGTAGGTCTAAAGTGCATCGAACGAAATGCATGTCGCTGTACGAGTACGAGTAAATACTATAGTGATGTGCAATGTGCAATTTCTAATAAATCTATCTACTAATATAATACTCATAACGTGTACATACATTCAAACGGAGTGCATTGCATCATCTATCGCTACAATCTACAAATTTTCTAGGAATATGGGTTCTTTTGTATAGAGTACAGAGTAAGTATGGTGGCTTCTTCATTTGGATTGGTTGGTTGTTGGTTGGTGGTTGTTGGTATATACTCGAGTATAAGTATATTGTTATGCATAGAGTACAGTAAGTGAGTGCAAGGTACTGTCTTGTCTTGTGGTATGGTATGGTATGGATATGAGGAGAGTATGAGGAGAGTATGAGGGGAGTAGAGTATATGGTTTGTTTGTTTGATTGTTTGATTTTGTGTCGTGTCGTGAGCTGTAGGGGGAACAGGGCTGTAGTGAGTGAGAGAGGGAGAGAGAGAGAGAATGAGAGATACTTTGGGGATGGTGATGGGGATGGGGATGGAGATGGGTTTTCTAGGGTGGTGTGGATATGGAAGGTTGGAAAATTGGAAGATTGGAAGGCTGGAGATGTAGGTATTAGGTATTAGGTATTAGGTCGGGGTTAGTGTTAGTGTTACAGTAGTGTTGGAAGCGAGGTCTGTCACGGTGATGTCATGGAAGAATGGTTTAAGCGAGAGAATGAGTGAGAGAGAGATGTTTAAAGATTTCATAGTATTAGATTTCTCGTATCGTAATTGCGAATTAAATTTTATATGTGCCAGGCATGCCTAACAACTTGCCTCTTCTCTCGATACCATTAGGAGAATATCCTGAATTGATTTGGATAACTAACTTCGAATTTTGAACCTTGACTTTTTGAAATGGGGGATCTTTCATTTCATCTATCTATCTCGAGTCTGCCATTTCTCATCAAAGTTTCTATCTATAATATATCTTGTAATGATAACTGATAAATCTATAATAGATTCCGAACGTAAACTTGTGATTTTAAAACTAGATTTAAAAGATTCATCCAAAATTCCTCACCAAGAAATGGCTGCCGAAGCTTTTAATAAGTCGCCTTGGCCAAGCTATTATCGACTTTAATAAGGACCATATACATGGTGCAGGTGGTGGAAGATGAGAAAGAATCTATATAGCAGGGGAAACGAAACCTGGCAGTCAGAATATCATCAAATTCACTGATGATGGCATCCAACAAAATGACCGAATGGACAGGAGACAAAAGCGTGGGTAGAAAGAGAATTAACTGGAAGATGAAGTGCAGGGATATTTTCGTGTATAATTTCGCCAGGCATGATACCATGGCTATCACGATGAATTGGACTCTTTATCTGCTGGCCGCACACCCGGAAGTACAAGATATTGGTGGCGGAGGAGATAAATGCTGTGATTGTTGGGGATGATTTGGAGAAATCGAACTACAAAGGTTATTATCCAAATTTGACCGATGTCCTCTTACTGTCCTAGTAATTCAAAGCTGACTCCCGCTAGGTTCGATATCGTGCAAGAAAACCCACCAACGTCTTTTCTTCCAGCTCGAAACTCTGCGATTCTGGGATCCTCGCGCAACCTCTCACTTAATGGCAAGAGCGTCACGATTCCTGCCCGTTCCGGCGTCATCCTAAATATCAACGCAATGCACTCGCATCCCATACACTGGGGAGAGGATTCTTTGGCATGGAAACCCAATTGTTTGATTTTAAGCCAAGACTCCTCTTACGGCGCACAACTCCAAAGCAGAACGTAATCAAAGCCAGAAGAAGAGTATCTCTTCTCACCACCAACAGTTATATATGCTCTGAAGGAGCCCGCATATACCCGGAGAAGAACTCGGGTTATGTGAATTCGTAGTGGCAATAGCAGTGCTGTTTTAGAAAACATTGGATTGAGGTTATTCCTGAGGAAAGAGAGAGTATGGAAGAGGCAAGAGAAAGGGAGGAGAAGAGTGCGTGGGATAGTGAAATTGTTTTATTGTTGCAGATGAAGGAACAAGAGTTGGTAGGAGTCAGGTGGATGGAAGTTGAGTAGAGGTTAGGGTAATGGGAAGGAGATGTATGATATGGTTGGTAGAGAACCGCTACTACTGTAGCAAATCTAACTTTTTAATGAAATACCGGTACATCGATCCATTGATAGGTACATAGGATAATCTATTAAAATAAAAGTTTTAGCTAGTCAATGGATCTTTCTTAAAAGGAATTCGTAGGCAAACTAATTAATCAAAAGGTTCTGATTTTAATGGACAAGCTACGCGGCCGCCTGCAAGGTACATACCGACCGACCTTAGTTCCCGGTGACCCCTTCCTTACTTTTAGCCTTCCCATCCCTAGCCTTGTCAAAATTTCTCTGACCTCAAAAGAAAACTTCCGCATCTCCAACTAAATTTCCCAATTAAATTTCACAACTAATTTCAATTCCATTCGAATAATGTCATAACCCCTCCAATAAACAAACATCCATCACCATGTTTGAAAATCTCTGTACATTACCTCTAAGCTCCGAGCTCTTCACCCAAGCTCTTCATCCCACCGAACCCATTCTCTCGGTTGGTCTTTCGGGCGGCCATGTTCAATCGTTTCGATTGCCGGCTGCTGAAACTTCTGCTGGAGATGAGGATGGTGATACTAGTGTTGTGAGTACGGGGACGAGTACTATTGATACGCAATGGAGGACTAGGAGACATAAGGGGAGTTGTAGGACTTTGGGTTATAATCATGATGGTGAAGGTTTGTGCTCCAAGCTTTTCTTATTGTTTTTTTTTGGAGCAGATTATATGTTAAAGACTAGCTCTCAATCGGGGTTTGGTTATTCAATTGACCATTACTGATCTATTCCAACTATAGTTCTCTACTCCGCCGGCACGGATTCCCTCCTCAAAGCCGCCGCTTCAGCTACCGGCCAAGTAATTTCCAAAATCCGCATTCCTAATTGCAACACCGATACACTCGATCCCCCTACCCTTCTGCATGCCCTCTCCCCCCAAACACTTCTCCTAGCCACCGATTCCTGCGCTCTGCACCTCTATGATCTCCGCGACATCTCTTCTTTCAAAACTGGAAAACCGGCTCAAACGTATCATCCACACGATGATTATATATCCAGTTTATCAGCGCTTCCCCCGACGGAAATGAGCACAAGTGGGTTTAGCAAACAGTGGGTTACGACTGGAGGGACGACATTGGCGGTGACGGATTTGAGGAGGGGAGTGTTGGTCAAGAGTGAGGATCAGGAGGAAGAATTATTGAGTAGTGTTTTTGTGAGTGGATTGCCGGCGAGGGGCAAGTATGGGAGAGAGAAGGTTTGTGTGGGCAATGGAAATGGTGTGATTACGTTGTGGGAGAAGGGAGTTTGGGATGATCAGAGTGAGAGGATTATAGTTGATGGGGGTGGGAAAGCTGGAGGTGAGAGTTTGGATGCGATGATTGCGGTGCCAGAGGAATTGGAGGGCGCATATGGTGGGAAGTGTGTGGTGGTGGGTCTTGGAGATGGAAGTGTGAAAATTGTAAGAATTGGGGGGAGAAAGGGCGTCGTGGAGGATATGAAGCATGATGATGTTGAGGCGGTGGTTGCGGTTGGATTTGATGTTGGGGGAAGACTGATTTCTGGGGGCGGAGACGCGGTTAAGGTTTGGCAAGAAAAAATTGATTATGAAGAGGAAGAGGAAGAAGAAGAGGAAGAGGAAGAGGAAGCGGAAGCGGAAGCGGTAGATGTGGAGGATAATGACGAAGTCATGGGTGATGGTGAAAAGAGAGCATTGGAAAAAGATAGCGATGATAGTGATGCAAAGGCAGATAGTGACGATGAAAAAGACGAAGGTCACAAGAAACGAAAGAAGAAGAAGAGAGGAAAGAAAGGCCAGGTTGGAAATGGAATCTTGGGATTCAAGGGCATGAATTAGTGTTTGTTCAATCGGAATGATACCCAGCTTTTTATTGTGTTGTATGAAAGTTTGCAAGCTGCCAAATGTATCTTTCAATTGTATATTGATGAATGGATTATTGATAGTACTGAGTACATTTGTTGCCCTTCTTTAAATACAACCTGTCGTTCCCGTCTCTTCTCTTGACTTTAAGACAATATAAGATTCCAATATTCTACCTACTTGATTCAGGTCAATTATTGATCATTCATCATCTAATAAATAAAAGGTTAATATTTAAATATACATACAAAAATTCAATATTAAGAGTCTTAACGGGAACCATTATCTTCGCTTGTACTATGAAGACTCCCTGGAAGCGGAGCACTCGAGTAATCAGGTCATCGGTAGCTAAATGGGAGCTGCTAACGTTCATTTCCCTTATCACTATACGAATAGCTAGATAGATAGATAGATAGATAGATAAATCATATGTTATATATTTCTCTTCCTCAAATCAGTAGTCGATACTTTTAAAATTCTAGAGTATTTCTTTCGGACACGAATTTAGGACCGAATAACTACCGTGACTGGAAGAAATGCATCGTAAACATCACCAAGTAACAATGATATCTTTCGTGACACTTCCCAAGCCCGGCCCCGCTCTCTGCGTACAAAACATCTGGGCTCTTCGTTTCTCCACCACGACGTTGAGCCCTGCAATTTTGGCCCTCCGATCTTGAGGTATGTGACCCTTTGCATCTCGCCACGGTTCTTCCAGGTCTCTAATCCACTTACAGATCAATCCACCCACGTAACTATCCCATACCCCTTCCCTGTATTCTTTATGCACAAATGTCATGGTGATTGCTTGATCTCGTAGCAGTTTGTTGCGGCAATGTATGCCCACTTCGAATAGTGGCATTAGGATCCCTAGATTGGTATGATAAGACGAGGCTGAATAATGAGGGCGGAGAAGTGTACAGTAGGTGATGATGGTGTGGAAATAGGGCTCGAGTTGATCGTATTGGATTTCATCCATGTAGAATGATCCGTGCATTCGGATGGTACTTGCGGCAGAATGTGCTTTGAGGAGTGCAGCGCTGAGAAAATCTTCGCTGTGATGGGGAGAAGCCATGCATTTTTGGAAGATATCTTCAGAGGCTTCTTCCCAACGGATCATGTCGGCTAGGTAGGTATCGCGTTCATGTAATATCTCGGGTGGAAAATGAGCCTCGTGTCCGTCCACCTGTGACCATGGATTGTTGTTTTGTCGGAGATCTGCAGCATCTTCCCAGGCTTTGGGTGAGAAGGTTCCTGATTGCTCTTGAAAATGGGGATCCAGTAGTGATTTTCTGGCTTGATCGATGAAATGAAGATTCCGTCTCATGATCGCTTGTAAGTACTCGTAACAATCCTTTATGTTTTGAAAACTTGAAAGCAATCCGTCACGAAGGTTGTAGTGATTGAGCCGTTCTTTGACCATGACGTGATGAACAGCAGGGCGAATATCAAGAAAGTATAGGACCTGTAAGTCTAAGTCCGTGAACGCTGTTCGAAGTTCTGGTCCAATAGAACCTTGCTTGCTAAAATCGCAGCCTTCCGCGGATGATCCGTAGAAATCATAGAGCATCATGATACCATTCGTTGCGTGTATGGAAGCTGATGCTTGTCGTCCCTGTATGCTTTCGATACAGAAAACCAGTAAACATGCAATCAAAGCAGTTCTGGGGCTCCGGCCTGCACTTTTATCAATGGCTCTCTGCATTCCTTGAAGACTTTTCCCATATTCCTTTAAAGCGTAATCGAGGTGTTTGTAGGTGCTTGATGATCCACTTCCATTAACTATCTCTTTGCGATGCTTGCTAAAGGCGCCCAGAGCTACTAAGCCGTGTGCTATGTATGGTTCTATTTCACATACTTGAGGAATAATCTCAGACCATACACCCGTGGGGAGTGGCCCTGCTATTCCTGCCGCAACTTTCTCGCAAAAGTATCTAAAGTACCTACTCTCATCTTCTGTAAACCTAGGTCCAAGATACAATTCGAGTATTGATACTCGTGGGACATCAGAGGCCATCCACTTCGGTAGAATGGGCACGATTGAACGGGACTTTGGTTTTGTCTTGTACGGTAGTCTTGGACTTGGATATCCACTACACAAAATCCCAAATTTTGAACATCGAACGCAACCCGGGATTGTTTCGTCGCATTTGATCCTTCTGATTCTTTGATTTGGTTAATTAGGATATAGAAGATATTATGATGATAATTATAACACTCACTTGCAATTGCGACATCCTGTCTTGACTTTGGGTAATTTGGCACGAAACTTAATTTCCATCTTCTGAGCTCTTAGTATTCTCTTCTGCGGACGCTAGTCGAAACGATAAAACCCGGCCACTTTGTATGTTACATAAATTTCTATCGTCGTTCCTGAGATAGCTCTTGTCTGCTTGTGTATCTCTATTGCTGGTGGCCATCCTCTGAGCTAAGCAGCAAAGTTATATAAGACGCCGACATGGTGAGAGTCACATCAGCAAACTAATCGTGACCTTTGAGGTACGACAAAATTCTCCGGGTGGAGCAGAGTTCTCAAAGGTGGGAAGGAGGAGACGAGAAGGGAAGAAGATAAAAAGCATCAAATTTCTGTAATTCAAGGTCAAGAAGACACCAAATGATCATAGCAATGCTGGCAAATTTTGCGGGGGCCACTGAACCTATAACCATCCCCAGGGGTCCTACAATTCACGACCATAACTCATCCAAAAAATAATGGGGATGGACAAATAAGTCTTTGTGACGATCACCTGAAGGAGAACACATACCGGTTTGTACTGTATTTATAAGCGTACCATGGAGTCTTGCTTTGAATTGACCGAGGGCATTCATTCTGCTGTCTATCAAAGTATCAAACCCTTACTCATAGGGACAACAGCACGAATGGATCGGAATATGAATATATAGGTACAGTACGTACGTATGATAGAACTGGGGAGATAGGATATCTAAGGATACATAAGATAGGGGCTGAGAATTATGATAACACCGAAGAGGATTCGTATGAAATATGTGGGAACAACCAACCGGTATACTAGGTATTGTAGTTCAGCTTCTCGAGTGGAATACCGCGGATAAGATTTTAACGATGAAGGGGCAAGACCCCTATTGGTGGTACGGGTATTTATCCCGTGACCCCGTCCCCCCCCCTACAAACGGTCTACAATCAAATTGATTTCCACTTTTGACATCCCTTAGACCAAGGTAAATTCCATCACATCAAAGAAGGCAACTTCCATTTGACAATCATCACTGATCCAGCAACTCCCGGAGGCGGGTTCGAAGTGAGGATATACTTCTCATGAAATTATATACCGGTATGACATCTCTTGGGTACCGTTATTCGAGTAAGAATACTTAAGTACTCGAGTAAATGCAACAAAGACAAGTAGGTTAATGCTTCTGGCATCGAGTCTTTCAAACCCTCAACCAACTTTTTGATTCTAATAGCATTCCACCAATGGCAATCATGGTGATATCTGATTGATACGGCATATCCAACGAAGTTCGTGGACTCATTCTTCTCAGTTTCTTCTTATCTGGAATCTCCAAAGTCAAGTAGTCCTTTTCTTTGTACGAGTAGCTCAATTCAAGAACAATTCCTCCAAAATATATGTCTATTATTTAAACATGGAAGTTCCCAGCTCTTCCATCGGCGAGTTTTTAAACCTCAATATGTATGATATCATTCTTCCAAGTATCCAAAAAAACATCAGAAGTCTGAGATAGTAATCAAGTCCCGGAGATATGTTACTGTATCGAATTTCGAGCTACTAAATGTGGCCTAAAGTGTGCCGCCCCAGTGGGTCAATAATCTACATACACTTCTAAGACATTGTCTACCAACAACAATAGTAAGAGTCTAGAATCAATTCTTTCAAGCTCCCATTCTCCCGCCCGTCTATTTGATATGGATGGCTTCTTCCGCCTGTCATTTGCGCTTCCGCAAGTGTGGAACTACCCATCGTAAAAAGTCGTCATTGTCTTTGTTTTCAATGAGAAGAACGTCAAGCTCATGCAATTTGCCGTCGTCTTTGTTCTTCCAATTCTTTTGGGAATATATGTAATAGGAAGCTCTCCAAGTAAAGCTGCATGGGAACAGTGTCTATCAAACTCAATTGATCTCCAACCACAATGTCAGCAATTGTAATAGTTGTACTGCGTACAGCGGAGAAGATCATTAGGATATAACTCACTCAAAACATATCTTCCAACTGTTATACGCAGATTTTGTGGGTACATTATAAACCCCCTGCCAGTGCAAGTCTCTATTTCATCCCTTCCACCGTACAAACACCAAATCCAACTAACCATGACCGATATTTCCGCACTCTGCGAATCCTTCAACTCCGAAGCTTCCACATACGAGCGCCGAGTTGGAGGCAGCACGCGCCGCATCATCGCCCATATAATCTCCCTCCTGGGAGACCTACCCGAGAATCCCATCTTCCTCGATAATGCCTGCGGTCCCGGTTTCGCAACCGAAGCTCTGCTAAAAGCCTATCCCACCTGCCATGTGCACGCCGCGGACATAGCACCAGGCATGATAGCACTCGTCAACAACAGCGTGATATTAAACAACTGGGCCGACCGAGTAGAAATCGTGTCATGGACGGAACCAAACTTTGCTATCCCAACAACAAATTCGACGTCTCTATTACCAATTTCGGCATCTTCTTCTTCTCGGACCCCATTTCCGGCGCAAAAGAAATCTACCGCACCCTCAAACCAGGCGGTAAAGCCGCCATCACCTGCTGGAAAGAACCACCCTTCTTCCCGCTCCTCCACGCCGTGCAATCCATCATCAAACCGCATACACCTCCCCTTCTCCACCCCCAACTCACTCTCTGGTCGCGCCCCGAAACCATGCTCCGCACGCTTCAATGCGCGGGGTTCCAGAGTTTGTGTTGTGTAAAGAGGGAATGGTAGGGTATCGTATGGTGGCTTGGATTGCGGTGGCGAGGAAGTAAGTGGTTTGTTTGTTGAGTCGAGGTATGCTGTATCGACATGAGGTGTGCAGAAAATGTAATATCTATATCTATCTATCTATCTGTCTATCTATCTATATATCTATAATTAGTAATTCATTCCACAAAACAAACTACAAATCAAACTCCAACTCCAAGTATATTTAAAAATCTCTCAAGCCACGATCTGACAGAGGACCTGCATCAACACGACATGCCCAATCCGAATCGCAATAATTTCTCATTTCAGACCGAAATTCTAGTCGACGGACGACCACAATTTTGATAATCTGGATACTAGTACTAGTATTGCAACGAATGACATGACTTCTCTCTTTCTAGCAGGAAAATCGAAGAGAAAAAGAGGAGTGCAAATGGAGAATGTGAAGTGAAGTCAAGTTAAGTTGAGTAATTGAAAGAAAATACCCATGTAGCTAGCTATCTTCTACAATATATCATTTCTTTCCAGCTTCCTATACTCACAGAATTTTCACATCATAATTAGATTAAAATCAGAGTTAAGATTTAGATGGAGTATTATATATGTATACAACACACCCCTATGATGATAAGCATCCTAAATACATACATACCTTAACACTATTACATTGTTACATTCGTAATATACAATCGTCCATCTATCCTATCCTATCTATTCCATTCATCTTCTCGATCTTCACCGACTTTCGACTACCCAGTCGAGACAGATATAACAGAGTAGAACGAATAGAACAGAGGAAAAGAGGAGTAATTACCATACCATACCAGACTAGAAATCTATGCGTCTAGCATAGCAAAAGCCTCCTATCTTTCCTCCCCTCCTTCTTTTTCCCGCAGACTTTCTCCTCTCCTCCTCTCCTTCTATCTTCATGCATACATCTCATTGTCATATGACACGCCCACTACCCATCACCCATCATTCCCAGTCCCAATGCCAAATCCAAACCCGGATAACAATAATGATAACAACACAGAAAGCCAGCCTCCTCATAGCCTACCCAGTATGCAAGACGACTTGAAAGTTGAAACGAGCTCCATTTCATGTTGATTAATTACTCTTCCCCCCTTCCATATTCAGTGATGGCCAGAATACTTGCAAGAAAGAACAAGAAAAGCATCTGCATCCAGCTCCCTTCATTTATGAAAAAAAAAAACCACCCAGATATCAAGTTGTTTTCCACACATTCATTATGATGTGTCCCATCTCCAAATTTTCCTTGCCCTAAAACGCCATGATGCAAAAAGCAATAAAGTGGGGTATCCATTTTCGAAAAGTAGGAAGAAGCCGATTTTTCTAAATTGTAGGTACTGGTGAAGCTGTTCTGGCCAATAAACGGACATTGTCTATCAGACCTTCCACCAACTTAGCGTAATCGTTTGGTTCGCCATTTCTAGCCTTGAGACCTTGTTCTTTGACAGCTGCTGTTGAGAGTTCGATTTCGAGCTCGTGTTCTTTTTCAGCTCGAGTTATACCCTGACATCATTAGTAGGGGTGGGTAAGAAAGGAGCCGCAAAGAAGACTCACATTTGATACCAAGCTTTGAGTGACTTGGGTAAGGTCCACCTGATAATGTGATTGCTTATAACTCAAACGATCCTTGTTACGATCCGGCCTTTGAGCTCCGTCGCTTGAAGTAATTAGATCTTCTATGTCACCGTCGAATCTCATCTCAAAATTTATGCTAATTCGGCAATCGAGTATTAAACTAGGGAAGAAAATATCTAAATCTGCCACTCGAGCTTTGATGATCTTTGCCAGTACTTCGCCTGTCTTCTGATCGTGTGTAACACGGACTTTGACACTGTAACGTGGATTGAGTAGGGCCCGAAGAGCAGGAGGTAAAGTGGCATGCATTGAAGAGGGGAGTTCATAGAATTTATCCGTCTCCCGTCGATGTAAGTACTCGATCTGGACTCGTCGTTTTGGTTGACTAGGATTGTTTGGATAGCATTCTTGAACTTTCTGATTCAAAAACTCGTTTAGATTCTTGTGTTGGACCTATTGCACACGTCAGCAAGGCATAAAGGAGAACTACAGGCAACATACCTCTGTCATTGTACTTTTGAATGCAATGAACTGATTGTCCATAAGTACTGTTTCCGACCGGATTGGAAGATTCAGTCTCTGATTCGTCTCCTTACTAACAAGTTGTCCTAGCTTCGCTTCAATTTCAACCTCCACACCTCGACTGACCAGTTCTCGAGTATCTTCTCGACTAACAACATGCCTGAATAGAAAGTCTGCCACTAGCCTTGTCATCTCCGCGGGAGGCTTTCTGCCAGATATGCTCGGCTCCCATGGGCCAAGAGGACCATCGCAATCATAATCATTCCCTGCAACAGGTCGAGGAATTGCTGGTGAAGCCTGGCGCACCCCATTGCTTTCCTGCTTTATTAGCGTAGCCGGTGGAACCTGCGCTGACGGCTGAGGAGTTAGTTGTCTCCCATTGGTCTTACGGCCTAGGCCTTTTATTCCTTTGGCACTTCGGGCCCATATAGGTGGCTCGGTGTAACGAAATCTCTTCTTAGCTGGTTGTTGAGGGGACGGAGTAGCGACAGAGTTGGATCGGTAATCGCCGTTAATTTGCGGCTTAACATCGTCTTGTTCGACTCGTTGAGGCGCTTCAAAAGAAATCTCCCGGTCCTCCATTTTGCGTTTCGTTGAGTTATTGTATTCTTCCGGCTGCTGTTGAATCATCGAATTCCCTCTTGTCTGGCTGGGCAGACGAGTTTTGGGACTAACACTGAGACTTCTTTCCCTTTCACTCACAGACCTTTGCTGTGTGGAGCTTGTGGATGAACTTTGGGACTCGTAAGCGTTTCGTGGAGTGGTCGGCATTCGAGGAGGAATCGAGGCGTTCGCAGGAGCAGGAGATATTTGATGATATTGAGTACTAGTTAAAGGGTTTGCAACCACTCCCCGTTGTTGATAGGGACTTGTAGGTTGTGTGAACGGGCCAGATGATTGGAGTTGTGTTTGTATAGGAGGACCTAGAGGTGTGCCAGGTTGAGATTGATGAGATTGTTGTCTTTGATGCCGGATTGAGAATTGATTTGGTGGGAATTGATTCGTGGAGATAGGACTATCTTGAGTGAATTGGTTTTGATACTGCTGCTGCTGCTGCTGCTGCTGCTGACTGTGCGCTAACGTGGGTGTAGCAATCGAAAGTGAAGATTGTGATCTTTGATGTTGAAGATAGGGATGAGTTGCTCCTGGAATTCCAATTGGAGGTGTCTGTGGAGCCTGCGATGCGTAAACTTGTGAATTATATTGCTGCAATTGAGGAGGTGGGTTAGATTGTGAATAACTATCTCTTTGAGTTTGGTGAAAAGTTGGAGGATATTGGTTGTGTTGAGCCGGACTTTGTGGGTTTTGAAGATTGTGCGGGAACGGATATTGTCCACCGGCAACACTAATGGATGAAGTAGGCGTATGCCGATAAGGTGAGGGGGCCGAATAAGATCCTGCTGAAGAACGATGGTCATTCGGTTGAATGGGAGTAGGAGGAGGCGGTCGACCTGGACCTGGATGAACTGCTGCTTGATAGGTAGTTGGCGATGCATAAGGCCCACCATTTTGTGAAGCGTACTCTTGTGATTGTGAGCCATGTTTGCCTGGACCTTGCGAGACTTGCGACGAATGACTATAACTCCTAAAGATTTGTCCTAATGGGGGACCCGTTTGAATTGGAGTTACCGGTATAGGCGCATTTTGTTTCGATCGTCCCCCTTCACCATTTTCCGTATTGATAATTGAACGAAGGTCCATGCTTGCGACTCGTTGTTCAGCAACACCATCACCATATACCAAGTATACACCCTTATTGACCCCACGCGCTACACTCTCAAATATCTCTTTGTAACTTCTAAATGTCCGTTCATTTGGTGATGATAGATTCTTTCGTTGTACAGTTGGGCTGATCTTGTTCTCGAATGTATGTGATAATGATGTTGGCGCAAAGGCGCAAACGCATTCAGACAAAGAAAGTGTCAAGATATAAGTTTAGGACTACGCAAACAATGATGAGAAACCATGAACCAGATACCCAGAGTAAATGGGTCGCAGATGGTTCAAATGGAATTTCAAGTATTAAGAGTTCACTGCAGATACATTTGAAGTTGTGATAGTAATGGCATTTTGGGATGAATAAGGGGTAATAAGTTGTGATTTTGAGATACCAAAATTGGCCATATGAATAACAGCTACAGGTACCTTACCTACTTAATGATGTTCCCTTTCCTTTCTATCTGTAGACGAATCGTTGCCTGTGAAGAAGGTGCACAGCATAATAAATCTTTTGAATGATTTGAGTCGGATTTAAAAGATAATTTAGATATTATATATGAAGTTCAGATGATTATCATTCAAAGTATATCTTCAAAATGTAGATATTTATACAACTTCCAATTTTGAGATTTAGTTTAAAGTCATTGGATTTGATCTAAAAATTAATGGAAAGTTTACCGGTAAATTGTCTAGATTTCCACCCGCTATCCATCTTGGTTTTCTCGCTTACATAAGCTATTCACGGTTCTCTTCAGCCCTTCTTTCTCTCCATAATCTTATGGCCTCAGGCATATATTTTGAGAGAGATGATTCCCCAAAGAAGTTAGCTTATTGCCTTATCTGACTAATGCCCGTCAATTCGTGGTTGAAGCTGTTGACGTGCCAAAAGTGTGCCTGATTGATTGTTGCGATACTTTTACTAGGAGATCTTTGGAGACAACTAAAATAAATCCATCAAACACATTCCCATTTACATTCTCTTTATAATCTCCTGGAGTACCTTTCATTAAAGATCTTCAAAAACAAAAAACTACTTTTCGAATTTCGAATCTCAAGCTGTTATCAAACCATTAACCAACCATGCCGAGTTTGACTTCAGCCTCTGGTGTCCTGGGCTTCCTATCAGATGAAGAACCGGAGCTCAAGGTCTTCGCCCTCCAAACAATAAATGATGATATCGATACTCTATGGACAGAAGTTGCAGGTTCCGTTTCTCAAATGTACGTTAAATTCAAGTATTCGCAGATATTAGATCTTACTGTAGCTCTATCATGATGACTTTTGGACTGAGTACTGATTTGACCACTTCCAGTGAGGCGCTTTATGAAGATGAATCCTTCCCCGAGCGACGATTAGCATCATTGGTGTTGGCAAAGGTCTATTTTCATCTACAGGCATACAATGAGAGTATGACATTTGCTCTTGGAGCTGGCGATCTCTTCCAACTCGACGAGGCAGGCGAATTCGAGGAAACTATCATTTCAAAATGTGTCGACACTTATATCAGTGTGTCTGCTCAGCATCATGCTTCACCGCAAGAAACCAAACGTGATAGTGCTCTACCTACCCTCGCAACTACATTCGCAAGTGGGGCCGATGATACCAGTGCTGCTGCGCTCACCTCGCCTCTGACACCTTTCTCGCAGTCTACTCTGCCATCGAAATCCCTCTTATCACGAGCCTCTACCGATAACATGTTGGAACAGCCTGTAGCAGAAGGCAAGACTTCGAGTTCTACGATTTTGCCAGATCGCTCTACTCAGATTGCGCTTCAAAAAGTAATTGAGAGACTTTTTGAGAGCTGTTTACGCGAAGGAAGATATAGACAGGTTGTGGGAATTGCAGTTGAAGCTAGAAATTTGGAAGTTTTGCGACGAGTCATTAAGCGTGCTAGCGACGATGAGAAGAAGTCGAGATCAAAGCCGGCCGAAGACACACCTGGTCCAACAGAAGAGTTGATGGAATATGTCTTGGACATCTGCATGGGTGTTGTGCAAGAAAGAGGCCTTCGAACAGAGATACTCAGGTTGATCTTGTCTCTACTGAACGATATCCCAACCCCCGATTATTTCTCGATTGCAAAATGTGTGGTCTACCTTAATCAAGACGAGGAGGCATCGGCAATGTTAAAAAAGCTTGTTGTAAGTGCTTGAGGTTGAATGAAAGCTTCAATTACCTCACACCTTGCTTGGTATGAAACTAACCTGGCGTAGGCCAAGGATGACCAAACCTCCACTGCTATCGCTTACCAAATCGCCTTCGATCTGTACGATAATGGGACTCAAGAATTCCTCGCCAAAGTGATCAAGTCTTTACCCAAGAAGGCAACCGATGCCGAAGCATCTACGAAGGAGCGTGAGTAGACTTTATGTCCTATCGTTAGAGCTGCGACTAACTTCTTTGAATAGCAACGGAGTCTGATCAACTTTTAGGGGAATTGAACGAACAAGTGGGTGAATCTACCGAAGGGGCCTCAGATGAACACATCAAGATTTACGACTCGATACGAAAGATTCTTGATGGTAGCGAAACCATCCGACTTAATCTCGAATTTTTGTATCGAAACAACCACACTGACCTTAGCATCCTCAACAAAGTCCGCGACAGTCTCGAAGGTCGAAACTCCATCTTCCACACAGCTGTCACGTTCTGCAATGCGTTCATGAATCACGGTACAACCAACGATAAATTCTTCCGTGACAATTTAGAGTGGTTGGGAAAGGCAGTCAACTGGTCAAAGTTTTCTGCTACTGCTGCGCTCGGTGTTATTCATCGTGGCAACCTCTCCCAGGCCAAAAGGCTACTGGAACCTTATTTACCAAGAGCCGCAATGGTTGGGGGGTCAATCTATAGTCAAGGTGGCGCTCTTTATGCTTATGGGTTGATTTACGCCAATCACGGCGCCGATGCGCTCGAGTATCTGAACAAAGCCTTTAATGAGGCACAGGAAGAGGTTATTCTGCATGGTGGTGCCTTGGGATTGGGTATTGCTGGTATGGCTACAGGTGATCAACAAATCTACGAAAACTTGAGACACATACTATACGCCGATTCTGCACTCAATGGTGAGGCTGTTGGTCTTGCAATGGGTCTCATCATGTTAGGAACTGGCAACATCAAAGCTCTAGAGGTCATGATCACTTATGCTCACGATACTCAACACGAGAAGAGTGTTAGAGGTCTTGCCATCGGCATGGCATTAATTATGTACGGCAGGCAAGAAGGAGCTGATGAGCTCATTGAAGGCTTATTGAATGATCCAGATCCAACTCTTCGTTATGGTGGTATCATGACCGTCGCTTTGGCATACTGTGGCACAGGAAGCAACAAGGCAGTGCGCAAGTTACTCCATGTAGCCGTCAGTGATGTCAACGATGATGTCCGTCGTATTGCCGTCATGAGTTTAGGTTTCATTCTATTCCGTAAACCTGGCAGTGTGCCACGTATGGTCGAACTTTTGTCCGAATCCTATAACCCGCATGTCAGATACGGCGCTGCCATGGCCCTTGGTATCTCTTGTGCCGGTACTGGTCTTGATGAGGCCATTGATTTACTTGAGCCAATGATGAAGGATCCTACAGACTTCGTCCGACAGGGCGCTCTGATCTCTCTTGCCATGATTATGGTTCAACAGAATGAAGTTATGAATCCCAAGGTTGCGGAAATCCGCAAAACCTTGAAGAAGATTGTTGCAGATCGTCATGAGGATGCTATGGCCAAGTTTGGTTGTGCATTAGCATTGGGTATCATTGATGCTGGAGGCCGCAATTGCACCATCGGATTACAAACTCAAACCGGTAACCTTAACATGGCTGGTATCGTCGGCATGGCAGTCTTCACACAATACTGGTACTGGTTCCCATTTACCCATTTCCTCTCCTTGACTTTCACTCCTACCTCGATGATTGGTTTGAATCATGAATTGGAGATTCCAAGTTTCAAATTCCACAGTGCCACTCGTCCAAGCCTTTTCGACTACCCACCAGAGCAAGAGGTCAAGACGGAGGATGCACCAACTCTTATTGCAACAGCAGTACTATCGACAACTGCTCAAGCAAAGCGCAGAGCACAAAAGAAAGAGCGTGCTCAAAGACGAGAGAGTATGGATATCGACCAAACGCCAACTACACCAAAGATTTCAGCTTCAGCCGACGACAAAATGGATCTAGACGAATCAACCAGAGACACGGAAGAGAAATCTGCCGAAAAAAAGGATGAAAGCGAAAAAGAAACTTCTGCAGAAATCTTGAAGAAGAAGCTTGAGAAGGAAAAGGTTGGCTACGAGATTGAGAACATGTCTAGAGTCCTTCCCGCTCAGCTTAAATTTATCAATTTCCCAGCCGGTCGATATAAGCCTGTCAAGAAACCTACTGGAGGTGTCATTGTAATGATTGATACCCAACCAGAAGAAGAGAAAGTCTTGATGGAAGAAAAGGTGAAGAAGAAGGCCGATATTGAAAGAGCTATAGCGTTGACCACTATTGGGGATATGCGAAATGAAGCTCTCAACGTGCGTCGTCAAGCCGATGCTCAAGGTGAAGCCGCGGGTTCATTTTCTGGAGCTGCTGCAGCAGCAGGTGTTCTAACCGCTGTTGATGAAGATGATGAGGGTGCCGAGGAAGCTACCGTGCCGAATGAATTCGACTATTTCTCTGATGGGGAAGTGGAGTAAATAGTCATAATCGATCGTAGTGGAGGGGCGTGTAATTTTAGCAGTCTGCATTCAGGGAAGCGTGTTCTAAATGCAGTCCCTATTGGGCTAGGATCATGCATGTGGTTGAGGGCATGCATTGTGATAGTATAGAGATGTGTATAACAGAGACCATACCAAGTGAAGTACCTATTTGCGTGACATATAATCTAGTGATCCGGGACCATGGTTTATAACTCCCTCCACAAGTTCTGATTGCTTGAGCAATATTTCGATTTTGAACAGGTCCAGCGACCACTTTCATCGATTTATTGGAGCCTTAACCTTATCCATAAGAAAGTTACAGTAATCATTCGAGATAATAATACTGTACTTACTTATCTTAGTTATCTATGAAGCGATAAATGTATATGCAAGTGCAAGGTTCTCGTATGAGACAGATTTCTGATTCTGAGTTATGGACTGTGGATGGTGGATTGTGGATTGTAGATGCATGTGTGTGTGTACTGGGGGGGGGAGGGGGGGCTTATCAGTGTGCTTATCTATGTGCTTATTGTTTCCTTCTCCGGTAAGATGTGCGATATGAGATATGGAGTATATACTAGCTAGATGCACAAAGTAGTTTGTGCAACAGGGAGACCAGGGACTGGGGAGGGAAGATATATTGGTTGTGAGTCTTACAGGGAAGGAAGACTGGGGACTTGGGCCCGGGTGGAGGGTGAGATGGGTGGGTGATACGAAGAGTGTTAATACTAAAGAATCTCTTTAGTTGGAATTGGTTGTTATCTTTTCGTTTGCTTATTTTTACTACAATTTTCAGTTTTTTGCTTGTGCAATCTTACCGCGAAGTTCGAAGCTCGAAGTTCGGTGGGAGTACCGTATTTGTATATAATATACTGTATATTGTAATGATATATATTGGAGGGGAAGAAATTCTTTGATCCATCGATTCATTGACAGAAAGATATATAAGGAGGGAGCGGCAAAGCAAAAGTCATTATGCGTCCATTAACTTCGATTCCATGTATTCCAACAGGAAAACAAATGAAAGAACGGTGTACATCGATCAAAGCATGGGAATTACCGAAACAGAAGAGCACGTTGGCGCCGGAAAGTGTGTGGACGAATGAGGATATGGATCCGGTGAAGATAGAAAATCAGACGTGGACGTTGTGGACTTGGTGAGTTTGGTTTTTGGTTTTTGGTTTTGGTGGTGTTGGTGCTGGGTGGAGATGGGGATGGAAATAGGAAGGGAAGGAAACGAAATTGGCATGATTGATTCATAGAATGGATGAGGAGAATAGGTATTGAATATGGTGAAGATTGACGAAATGGAATATAGGATGGCTTATTGGGCTACGGATACGATTAATCTGGGAACTTGGGAGACGGCAAGTGGTATTCTTGCGGTGGGTCTGACATGGCGGGAGGCAATTCCTATTGTGAGTTTCCCCATCAACGATCAGCTACTCCTCATACATGATATGACCATCCCATCAAGCATCAAACTAAACTAAACTAATACATCAAAAGATGGTCGTAGGAACCACTTGTGTAGCAATCCCCATGGTACTCAATGGAGCCATCGGCGCAAAACTCCACATACCATTTTCGGTGGCGATTCGAGCATCATTCGAATACTATCTTGCATACTTTTGCATCGTTTCGAGATCTATACTGGCGATGTTTTGGTTGGGCATTCAAGGCGCTAATGGGGCTGAGTGTATTACGGTTATGATATTGGCTGTTTGGCCTAGTTATAAGAATGTACCGAATCATATTGCGGAGGGACAAGGTATCACTACACATGGAATGATAAGGTATGTTGTTTCTACGGAAAGAAATTGAAATGATACTAACAGGCTGATTTGCAGCTACTTCCTCTTCTGGATAATCCAACTCCCACTCCTCCTCATCCCACCCACCCGGCTCCGCTACCTGTTCGCTGCCAAACTAATCGCCGCCCCCATCGCCGCCCTCGCAACCATGGGCTGGTGCATCCACCAAGCTAGCAAATCTAGCTCTGGCTCTACCTCCATCTTCAATCTGCAACCCACCGTTTCTGGCTCCACTAAAGCCTATCTCTGGCTTTCCTGCATGTCATCCGTCACAGGCACATGGGCCACACTAGCATGCAACATCCCTGATTTCTCTCGCTACGCACGCTCCTCCAAGGGTCAATTCATCCAACTGCCCTTCCTCCCCCTCATCTTCACTCTCTGCGGTACCATCGGCATCATCACCACTTCCGCTGCCGGCATCATCTACGGAACCCCCATCTGGAACCCCCTCGAAATCATAGCCAAATGGCTTGATCTCGGTCACGGTGGTCGCGCCGCCGTCTTTTTCGCAGCGACTGCTTGGTATATTGCGCAAGTCGGCACGAATATAACAGCTAACTCTATTAGCGCAGCGAACGATCTCACGGTGCTTTGTCCGCGCTATATTAATATCGAGCGCGGATGTATCATCGCTGCGATCATCGGAGGCTGGGTCATCGTCCCCTGGAAAATCATCAGTTCAGCCGAATCTTTCCTCGCTTTTATGGGCGGCTACGCAGTCTTCCTCGCACCGATCGCTGGTATCCTCGCGGCGGATTACTGGCTTGTAAAAAAACAACATATAGATGTACCGGCACTCTATGATCCGCAAGGTAGATATAGATACTGGAATGGTATTAACTGGCGCGCGCTGTTGGCATTGCTGGTGGCGGTGAGTCCAAATTTACCGGGGTTAGGGTATAGTATTGGGGAAACGGGGGGAGAAATGCATTCGGTGAGGATTAGTGGGGGCGCGAGACATCTTTATTCATTTGGCTGGTTGTATGTTTTGTGGTGAGTGTGCTGGTTTATACGGGGGTTAGTTGGGGTTGGCCGGATGGGGAGTCGTGTGTGCAAAGTACGGTTTATGGGGATGTGGATGAGGTGGTGGAGGGGGTTGGTAGTGATGCGGAGAGTGCTGGGGGGGGGCGGGAAGGTGCGCATGTAGGTGCGGTGGGTGATGGGGAGAAGAGCTCGAGGGGTGTAGGGGTGGTGGATCTTGGGTTGGGATAGCATGGTGATAAGGGAAGAGAGGATGCGATGGGTGATGTGATACGATAATTGGAAGAAGCTTAATTGGGGGAGACAAGCGATCGAAATACGAGTACACGCACACGAAGAACTTTCTGGAAGAACTTCATTGGAAACAAAATACATATCACAGCTAATACTTGCCCCAAATTACAATCATTAATGTATCTAAAGCACTAATTAAACTTACCACTACTTTTATTTCATAACACACCTTCAAGCACTCATCAAATGAATATAAGCCCTTCTTGAAAACAACACATCATATAACTTACTTATTATCCCTATTCAATAACCTAACTAACTCCTAGGTAGATAATAAAAGATGACACATTATACAAACAAGAAAACACAAATCAAAATCTCAAACCAAGACAGAAGAGAGCAAACTCCACCGATTAACCATCAGTCACACTCAACACCTCAAATAACCCTCCCAAAATATCTCACTTCACACTTTATTTTTTCCCCCTCGCTCGCGCCCTCGTTATCATTGCCGGTTGTATCGAGGCAGATGGCGCTGGCTCCGGCTCACTTAACGAAGCTTCCGAAGGTCCCGAAGATCCATACAATTCATCCACCACATCCCCCCAATCCTTCAAATCCCCCGTACTCCCCTCTACCATCTTCGCATAAGCCTCCTCATCCTCCTCGTCTTCGAAGAACCTCACTTTTGACATCGAAGCTTTCCTCGCAGGTCTATGGAATCCCCCAACCGGGTTCTGCTGTGATGATTCAGCGCGTCGGGGTGATCTCCTCACCGCTTCTTCGGACTCTGTTTCCGGACTCGAAGAGTCTGTTCCCGCACGTCTGAAGCGTTTAGATGCGCGGCGGGTAGAATATGGAGTTAACTCTTCTTCTGGGATGGCGGCGGATGCTTTGCGTTTTGTGGGCGAATATGGGAGTATTGGTGGTTGGCCTGGTGTTTCTGGTTTAGCAGGCGTGGGAGGTTCGACAGGCGAGTCGGTATCAGTAGCCGAGCCGGTATCAACAGCCGAGCCGGTATCAGTAGTCGATTGAGGGACACTTGACGAGTCAAGTTCAGGGCTCGAGGCAAGTTCAACAAGCGATGTTGGCTTTTTGGGTGTTGGTCCTGTAACTGTGAATTTTACCGGTTGGGGTTCATAATCGCCAGGCTCAAACAGATTCTCATACAGATTCTCATCATCATGATATAAAAGATCATCGGCTTCGATACTCTGTTGTAATTGTTCGTCTTCCGAGAGCAGCCAGGACTTTTGGTATGCGTAGCCTGTCTTCAGGGCGTCGGAACCAAACTTTTGGGATCCGGTTCCTCCACCGCTACCACCTCCATCACCGAGTCCTTCTCCCCATGTGGGGATTGGGGTGAGATTTCGTTGAGCAGTTAGGGTATTCATTGCGTTGGCTCTCTGAAAATGCTCCATCAGTTCTTTAAGCTTGTTCGGATCTCTAGCAGTGCCAGCTTTGAAGCCCTTTGGCACGCTGCGTACGTCTGAAATGCCGTAACCATCGCGATGTCGATAATGGTCTACTATGTGGAGATCATTTCCGGAATCTGAGCCGGGTGCGGCGACTCTCTTACCACAGCCAGGGAACGGACAGGCGAATGGGCGAGGTTGTTTTGGATCGAAATGGCTAGCCATATGCGTGAATATTTCATCACGAGATCTACCAACTGTATAGAAATCGCACCCTGTGGCAGACCAAGGGCATTTTCCAAGGTCTCTTCTATCTTCAGCCCATGAAATCACTGGTCTGTGTGTCTGAGGAAGGCGTGACTCTCTTTCGGCTAAGACTCTTTCATTTTCGGCGAGGTTGATCTCTCGCTTCGTGAGCCAGGCGAGTGTAGATGCGGTTTTGGCCGAAACGCGATTGGTGTCGGCAGTGCGTATTTTAAGCTCTGAATAGGGAGGGGCGAGTCAGTTACAGCTAGAGGACCGGTAAGGGAACGAGGTGCAATCCAGATACTCTCTATGAGATGTTCAAGATCTGAAAGAGAGCAAGGCGTATCAGCTTGATACCCTGCGGACACAATAAAATGAAGTGAAGAAGGAACAGAAAAAGGTTATACATATTGGGAAATGGAGTCAAGATAGTGGACATACCTTCAATTCGCTGTTTTAAAGTCTCCGACTCTTTCGTTCTGATGGCGCAGTATACTCTATGATCGATCAATTGCGATTCGTTGAGACCAAGCAATTTTGTGCCACATCTCAAGCAAAACTCTTTCTGCAAACCTTGTGGAGATGTACAATGATCATCATGCGTCGCAATTTCATCCTTGCTCCATGCACTTTTATCGATGCCACATTTGGTGCAGAACTTCTTATCCTGATTGCGCCGATTCTTGGCGGTACAGTTGACAACATGAAGTCCCCGTTCTTGTTCGTCCTCGTCTGTACGATTTTGGCCGCAATCACGGCAGAATAGTGGCTCGGGATCAAGCGGTCCACGATCTGGCTTATCAAGACATGTGTATCTGTGATGAACTAGTTCGGCTTCAGTACAGATAGCTGTGCGAAGTCCGCATTTGTCACAGAATTCTACGATGCCTGGTAAATGATCTGCCATATGACGAAGAACCTGTTCGGCGGTAAATCCACTAAGTTTGGCATCGCATACAGGACATTCAATGCCATTCCAGAAATTGCGGATCATTTCGATGTCTGCCTCAACCTGATGAGTCTCAAGATGCTCTTTCTTCTGCTCCATGGTCATGATGGACCAAGATTCACGCTCACAAAGAGGACATTGCCCTTCTTTCTGGAGTTGGATTAGATGCTGTGCATAATGTCTTTGTATTTCAGCATTTTCATAACCAGCCATACTTATGGAGCAGATGTTGCAGTTATGAGATCGTTCCAGTAGGCCGTTCCTTAACTTCTGGTTCTCTTCTGCCAGGTGCAAGATATCAGTAGGGGTCAAGCGTTGTATGTATACAGTAGGAGTAGATAGAGATACTCCCAATGTCAATTCTTTACTTGGCCCGTATGTTGGTGCTGAAGGATCAAGCCCTGGTTCAATGACAGATTGATCCTGAATGTAAGAAGAACGTTGTAATGCATCTTTGCGATGTTGATCAGTCATCCAAGTCTCCCATTTTGGAGTGATGGTCTTTTCGGCGACCGGCAAAACGAGTCGCGTTTTGTTGATACGAGGTTGTTGAGAGGGATCGACAATAGGTGCCACAGGCTCTGGGTTCAGATCCACGGGAGGTGCAGCGGAAGTTGGGCGGTTATGTCGATAACCCCACGGAATTATGTCAGGCTGCACTGTGAGAGGTGTTAATTGGTGATTTCGTCTTGTTTATAGGGCAACTTACTGAAGGGTCGCACGCCTCTTCGCTCAATATACACGTCTGTCTCAGTGAACCAATCGAAGATATACTTTCTCCAATAATTCTCCGAGGTTTTCTGATCAACTGCAAACAAATGATTCCCACGTGGCTGAATTATGACGAAATTTGAGTCAAGAGCAGGATCCCAATCATCATACATTTCTCTGACATTTGCTCTAAAGTTCTCGAGAGAAGTGTCATGTTGCTCATCAGTAGTATTCCATTGCCAGACAAGTGTATTTTGTTGAGCATCATGAATCGTAAAAACTCTATATTCTGGACGGAACCAAATATTTGAGAATGTTTGCAGGCGACCGCTGAAAGCCTCCTGCAATTTTCGAATCTTTCTGGTGTTGTAATCACGGGCATCAACCTGAAGGATGACAGGCGGGTAGTTCTTTTCACGTTCTATAGCACTGAACCACATCGCGATAGAGCTACCGTTTGGATAGGTAGAATTTTGCCTTGTACGGTGAAGCTTTCTCAATCGTTCCAGTATGTAGTCATAAATGTGGAGGTAATCATTGCGTCTGAATTCCGTATCTCTCGGGTAATCATCACCAATGAGGCGGAGAGTTAGTGATTCCCCAGGACGTATTCCAATAGTAACAGGAGGAACTGTCAAAATGAGTTGGCACGACCTTGGATGAGCACCGGCTTGTGGTGGATTGTGCTTTTGTTGTTCGATCTGTTCAACAACCCAATCCCATGTTTCCAGAGTCACTTCCATACCACCAAAGCCAATGGCACGTTCGGCCTTTCCTCCCGGTCGTGTATTAGAAAGCCGTACATTGCGCGAAGGACGATCTCGACCGAAAATGGCAAGGAAAGCTCGAACAAATGAAGGCTGTAACGAATTGAGGCAGTAAGGCGTTGAGAGATCCAATGGGACTTTCCAGTAAGTTTCCGTTCTATCTGATTCACTGATCAGTCTGATTATCTGAATGTTCTCTATAGGTGGTTCGACGAGACTCATTTGTGAGGGTGCGTATCCACAAACATTACGCACGAAGATACTCGCTTTGTTTGCATCAGTACCAAGGAGGTATTGATCCCTGAGAGAGAGAAAATCGTTCCTGTATTGTGATCTGGTGAACCTAATAGGTGGTAAAATGCGATCTTGAAGATGCACATCAACAAAGAATGACCAATTGGATGTCGGATCTATGTTCAGGAGTTTCGTGACGGCATCTTTGAAAGCAAAATATCTCGGTGTGATTTCTCTCTTCCCAAAGTACGAATAAATCAAATGCCGAGATACCTTCTTATGCTCATCGGGAAATTCTCTCGCCAAGCGAACCGGATCCTCATAGTATTGAGGAGCATGCTCATGACTCAAACGTTCTTGTTGGATTATGATGGTGAGTTGATCGTGATCCACTTTCCCAATGATTTCCTCAATTTCGGGCCATCTTTCTACGAAATTTACAATTGAATCTATTTGAACGGAAATCTGCAGCGGTATATCAATCTTACGTGGATCTGGCTGGCGATAGACATCGACATTAAAAGGCCAATCCGAACCCTCCGGACATTCGAGAAGCTCGTGAGCAGAAGTAAGAAATTCATCTTGGGTCAGATGTGTACGGCGGCGCCTGTATTCGGGACTTGGACCCAGTAGGTCAAGGTAATATCCTCGCAATGCAGGCTCATTACCCGCACCGCCACGCATATTAACGGTCGTCCCCCATTTGAAATCACTACTACCTGCAAGACTTAATTCATCGACAGACCCAGCGCCACCTCGCATGCTTACTCGGGGACCTGTCAATGTTAGTAAATGTATCATGCATGAAGAAAGTCAAGGCAACACACGTCGGATTATTTGGTACCCAAAGGCTCTTTCGAGGTACGAATCCAAGAATTCCAAAGGTTTCTCGGAATAAATAATTCTCTGTTGTCGAGGTGGGGAAGGTGCAGGATCTTCTTCATCGTCTTCAGAATCTTTCCAGTCCGGAGTGAGTATCATGATATTATTTAAAGTCATTGGAGCTACAGGAAGACCAAAGTGAACCATTGTCATCTTTGTAGCGAGATTGTCGAGTTGTCCATCAAAAGGTCCAGTTGGACCAATGTTTTCATAGTAGTCTCTACTTTGTTGATCCCTAACAGCTTGAACCTCATTACTCCACGCCTGGGGATTGATCAAAATCTTTTGAATCTCTTCAAAGTGGTCATCAAGAACGTCTGATATTTTCTCGGTTTTGAGAAGCTGAGCATAATATGCACGAGTTCTCTGCCACAGAGGATCTTGGGGAGTAATATCTGGCATCCACTGTAGACTTCGACTCTTGTTGTTCAGTTCATCGTAGTTTTCCTTGTCCAATTCTTCATCAAAGTATTTATCGATAGCTTTAGCTTGACCGCGTCGTATTTCGGCAGTTTCCTCCTCCGTTAAAGGCCTACCATTTTTGAGAACCACAGGGATATTCACTGGTTCGATAGGAGGGGGTAAAAAGTAGTCTCTCAAGGACGCGAATAAACCTCGTACCGCTGCCATATTGGACGATGATGATTGTGACGAGGTTTAGAAATGAAGATGGAGATACTATCTGATCAGATGAAAGACAAAGACAAGGAAAAAGAGGCACGTTAGATTCTCAAGAGGTAGAGCTTTAGCAAAAGAAGTTTCAATCTATTTCTTTGTTAATTAGATTGACAGAAAAAGAGCATCAAGGACGACATCTTAGTTTGCGTGTGATACTTATCCTCGACCTCCAACTTCATGGAGTTGAAAAATTGCATTGTTGAAATTCTTTGATGATAATCAAAGACTCGACGCATACGATGATCCTGAGTGGATAAAGACAATTCAGGAACATTGAAATGGGAAATCATGTCGTTTGCGGTTACAAAAGTCAAAGAACCATTTTCTGAATACATTCCTTGATATTCATAGGTGTACAGTAACTCGCGACAACATTTTTGGTGAGCGGCAATAACCTTATGAGTCTTTCCGGAGTACTGGTAGTCTGATGTTGACCGTGACAGCATTTGGGATGAATCTTTGAATCTTTACAAGTAAGTATATGAGGAAAAGAAAGAAGGAGAAGTACATACTAGTAGGCGGTGAAAGAATTGCGGGTCACATGATACCAGCCAACATTTGCAGAAGCTTTAGATAATAAGCTAATACTAATACTCAGTATTACTCTCTTAGAGAGCCTAAGAATAGGACCTATTTATACTACTACTATACAATCGTTATAAGATTATATTAGATAAAGCTAATAAAACTATACTAATATCAATTGAAATTATACAATATTTCTTTTGAAACGGATATAAGATAATATAAATGTGACAGAACAGACGGCTCTCTTCCGCCCACTGGCTTATACTATATACATAGTATAATACGACGGCTCTCTTGGACCTTCCTTTCACAGTTTAGAGCCCTAGCTCTACAGCTCTAGATTTAGGCATTATACAATGCTTATCTCTAGGACTCTTTCACTCTTCTAGGCCTAACCCTTATAGCTCCCAAATACCTGTATATATAGTCCTCCTTTTAGCACCCTATATAACTCTTCACTTGTAGATTTTAAGTACACAATCGGAGTCCTGTTTATACCCTTTTGGTCACAATAAATATAAGCAATACTACTAATTGTATTCAAGTTTATTAGATCTAATTAATTAATATTAACTACTAATTCAAATTAGTAAAACTATTTAGAAATATAGAAAATCCTTATCAATCGATTTCAAATCTATCTTAAATTGAAAGGAATTACAGAATCGATATTAATTTAACTTATAATAGATACAAATATTAAAAATATTTAGATGGATATATATTGAATCTAAATACCCCCTATTCCCTATACGATATATTATTGAGAAATATATACAATACACGAATATATCGGCAGCTTAACTATATATCACATTTCAGATTCGGCCCAGTTACTCATATCTTATTAATCTGGGTCTAGCATCAGATATCATCCTTTGGATCCATACCGGCACCGTATTCCCGTTACTATACGATCGGTGCGGAATCCATATTTTTTTGGAGCCGCGGGTAATATTATTCATACCGGCCGGCTACTAGAGATTCAAAAATTATAACGATAACAAAGAAGTTATCATTTTCTCTTCAGTGTCTTTTAATTTCATATGTCACGTTTTTTTAAGAGAACATCACTTCAGTGATTGGCTAGCTACACAGAACTTAAAAGGTAGCTGAGTTGGCATATCCTGATCATCTAAATGATTTTGTAACTATATGTTTATCTTCAATATTCTAAAAAGCGGTTTATCTTCACAAATAGTACAAGTACCGATTCCTGTCACCCTTTTTGACTTACGTGAAGGTTGTATATTTTGCTATTTCATCATTACTTGCTCTGCTAATTTACAAAGTATATTCGTCCCAGCTTCAATTACATCCTTTTAACGGACTCAAGGACCCGTGAACTTTTTCGACTTCTCTGGCCAGCTCGTCCTTCTTTTTGCTTTCACAAAGAAATTGTTCGGACGGATTAGCTGAAACGACGGGTCGTATTCAACTGGCTCACTGCCCACCTTTTCAAATTGATATCTATATACCAACATTGAAAGAATGACTCTTACTTCCTGCAATGCGAAATTAAAACCGATACACATTCGAGGGCCGGCGGCAAATGGTGCATATGCGGTCTTGTGTCTCTGCTTCACCTTTTCGGTGTTCCAACGATCAGGATCAAAATCTGCTGGAGACTGCCAGACTTTGGGATTGTTGTGAATATGGTGGATATCGATGATCATGACAGAACCTTTGGGAATTCGGTAGCCGCCAGGTATGATTACATCGGCTAGGGCGGTACGACCTGGTTGGTAAGAGGGGTTGTGGAGACGTTGTGTTTCTTTGATAAAGAGACCAAGGAACTCAAGTGAGTTTGCAAGATCGGGTGTCCATTCTGTCTCATTTGTGACATCGTGATCGATGAGCTCCTGGAGCAAGCGTTCCTGATTGCCGGGGTATGAAGCAATACTGAACAGAAGCCAACTGAGGAGTGAAGCTGTCGTGACAAATCCAGCTCCTATCGTCACTAGTGCGGCGCTGTTGCGGTATTTATCCGCGAGCTTGTTGCCTTTATCGTCAGTTGCTCTTGCGAGATAGTCAACGATACAAGTCGCCTTCAATGCAGCATCTTGCATGGGCAAATCTTCGGTTCCACCACTCTTTACATTTCTGATAGCCTCTTCTATCAATTCTTTCACGTGTGCTTTATTGTCCCTAAGTTGCTTTGGTACTCCCCATGGCAAATGAGAGTACCAATCCCCCATAACCGAGACTTTTTTGTTGAGTTCCAAGTTGTGGCCAACAGTCATTACGAGATCATGAAGAGGTGCATTAGCCGAATCAAAATGATGCATTTCCATGCCCAAAGCCAATTTTCCGATCGCAGTGGAACCCGTCTTGAACATATAATGGTACACATTCCAAGCTTCATCTTTCTCATCGAATTCGTCAAACACTTTGAAAGCTTGCTCCGCCGTGTTTTGCATTTGAGGTGTGTAATGCCTAACAGCTTTTGGGCTCAGTGCTGGTGCCAAAAATTTATGTGTTTCTCTCCATGATTCAGTATCGGTATCGGACAAGAAGATACCAGCCATAGGATCTCTGATACCGTACAATGGATGATCGGAATTGATCACTTTCGACCAGTAACCACCCTCTCCAAAACAAACATCAGCTACCCTAGGATCATTGGTGTGGTAAGTTGTACGACCCATGTCTGTCGTCTTGTACACTGGTCCGTATTGTTCAAAAAGTCGTTGATGATTTCCGAGATGGTCCGGGTACACTTCGTAGTAACTTCCAGCGATGGGAAGACCTGTTGGTCCAGGGACATCTCTGACTTGGTTTCCATCAATGAGAATACCAATTAGGGAAGAAGCATCTACAAAGTTATCGAGATCATCCAGAACTCCATCTTTATCGGTTTGGAACGAGATTCCTAATTGTGTCAGACGTTTTGTAGTTTATTCAAAAAAGATGAGTTTACCTGATGGTTGTGCAATGGAAAAGTTTTGAGCGACATTGTATTGCAAATACTCGAACGTATTCTGAAGATCTACTTCAAGTTCTTGGGAAGTGCTGGCCGGTTGACCCAGTAAGATGAATGATTTCTTGACCATATTGGTTATAAGTTTAGGTATATAGGGAGACGAAACTGAAGTATTATTCGGAGCAAATGAAGGGGTCAGATTGGAAAAAGAACGAAGACTTAAACGATTCAACCACCCACCTCCTTTATGGTCAGAATCTTAGCCTGCGTTCAATATCAAATACCGGTATCAGATATGATATTCACAAACCATGTCAATATAATTTGACAAACTAAATTGCTTCATTGAGACGGTTGTCAATTGCTCCGTTTTTGTGGTTCTAAACGGTTTTGGCCGCGGTTCCTCGGTATGTTTCATCATTAGATGGATCCAAAACAGCGGATACTTGTACAAAATACAAAATTTCTTCAAAGAAATTTAAAATAACTTCATGATAATTGGTCTAGAGCGGTAGGAATCAAACCAATTGAATTAGTTTGAAGCAGGCTAATCGGCAGATCGACAGACAGGGGAACAGTTGGGCCACCCATCCATGCTAGTTTGACATGCCTTTGGAGATTTCTTGGGTCATGGATGTGGATAACGTTGTTGTCTTGGTTGAAAAATAAAGACTTTGTGCATGAAATTGTTGCATTTCTCATTATACCTTGGCACTTGGATTGCTGGCAACGTTGCTGTATTTGAAGCTATCTCCACATATATGGAGTACGATGCATTTGACCTCGGAAATCAACATCAATAACTAATACCGGTAGCGTCAACAAAGTTGGGTCGAAATTGCTTCCTCGGTCTACAAGGTACGTTGGTCTTTCTTCTTCATGGTAAAAGTCATTCATTATCTCTTGAAAACCTTCTCCATCGCACTTGCCATAGTCATTCCTGCCCCTTAACCTCATCATGATTGAAACTAAGCAATTCTCTCTGAGTGAAATTCAGAAACATAACACAAAATCGGATCTGTGGCTAATAATTCATCATAATGGTCTGTATTTTCTCTATGTAATGCCAATATTAAGTTGACATTTTCGCAGTATACGATGTAACAAATTACCTCGAAGACCACCCTGGTGGTGCAGAATCTTTGCTCGAAGTCGGAGGACAGGACTCGACGGCTTTATTCGAAGATGTTGGGCATTCTGCCGATGCGCGAGAAACAATGGAATCATTTTTAATAGGAAGGTTAGAAGGCGCCCCTGACAAGGAAGATGAAGATACTGGATTGCCGATGCCGAAACCAGACTTGAAAGCCAAATCCAAAACCCAACACTTTAATAGTCAAGCTCCAATCATTACAGCAGGTAAAGCTGGACTAAAGATTTTCTCGGTTGGATCTGCGCTTTTCTTGGGATACGAAGTTTATTCGAGATCGCCGAAGATTGGGTGGCTTCAAGCACAACATGGAGGATTCTGGAAAGGAGTACTTGTTTCGAGTATTGCTACACTATCAATTGCGGTAGGATTAGGACGTTACCTCGAGAAAGCACTATCGGTACCCAGCAAAACGCCATATTCATACCCATCATACTACAAACCATCCATTCACATTGCCAAGCCAATCACGAAATTCAATGGATATTTACAACCGGAAGAATATCAAAAATTGCCTTTATTTAAAAAAGAGATTTTATCATCGAATACTCTGCATTTAATTTTCAAGCTTCCGAGAGAGGACATGATACTTGGTCTTCCAATTGGACAACACATTAGTATTCGAGCAGACATCGATGGCAAGTCTGTCAGTAGATCATACACGCCTGTTTCCAATAACTCTGATCCCGGAGAACTTCGATTGGTGATTAAGATGTATCCTGATGGCGAGCTAACCGGCAAATATCTTCAGCATCTCCAAGTTGGAGATGAGATTGAGGTACGTGGACCAAAAGGTGCCATGAGATATCGAAAGGAAATGGTGACGGAGATAGGAATGGTTGCCGGAGGAACAGGTATTACACCGATGTATCAGGTAATAGTATCTACTCTATCATCACAACTACGCTGACATAAATCAGTTGATCCGAGCAATTTGCGAAGATCCAACGGATAACACATCAGTTACGCTTCTCTATGGTAACAAAACTGAGGAGGATATCCTTCTCCGTGAACAATTAGATGGTTTTGCGGAGCGATACCCCGAGAACTTCAAGGTACATTATGTATTGTCCGACCCGTCCGAAAATTGGAAATCGGGCAAGGGATATGTGACCAAAGAGATGGTTGAAGAAATATTCCCGAAGCCAAGTAACGATAGCAAAGTCTTACTTTGTGGACCACCTGGTTTGGTCAACTCGATGAAAATAGGTTTGGTAGAGCTGGGATGGCAGAAACCGAGAGCTGTGAGCAAGCTGCCGGATCAGATCTTTAGTTTTTAGTTTTAGCTTTCAGTCAGTTGTCTGCATCTGCAGTGTTGATGTTGGAAACGAGGTTTTGGACCACTATTTAATGAAGATGTGGAATGTGGATGGGATAGGGGAAGCGAAGGAGTTATTTGGTTTGGGTCATCGCTGCCTGGAGTCCATTAATCTTTGAATATCATTTTCATCGTCCCTGAATCACTTGAAATGAGCATGTGGCATTGGTCATACTTCTCGGAAATTCCATCTCAAATCGCATTTGTCACGATATTGATTTCCCCTAACTTGAGGAAAGTTCAGACGTAATCTTACGAGTACAGTACAATACTCAAACTTTCATTTTCCGACCTTTCCCGAAAAGCAGTACAGTATTATACATCCGGTCTATGCTGCCGTATATCCGAACTCCTATTCTTTCTTGAAATCCCAAATTCATGACTTGATACAATTACTGGTAA